ATGCAAACGACTTCCTTGAACTTAAACTATTTATGGCTATTGCCAAGAAACCATAGGGATCCACCGGTTCCATTGCCGGGCAAAAGAGTAATGCTCCATCTGTTCCCTCAAAAACTCATTTCCGCTCAAATGAGGACATTTAATCGGAAGTCTTTCCCTCTGTCTGTGCTACTCCCAAATCTCAGAGCTTCCTCCTGCTAGTAGAACCGGGGGAAGAGGATCTGGGAACAGAAAAAACTCGAAACACGAAACTTCCTTCTCAGAAGAGTTACAGGGTGGAGTTGCCGACTGAAGAGGAAGGGACCCTTTCTGCCAAGTGATGGTGAAGCTGTTTGTCTTTTTTCACACACTCAGCTATTCTCCCCTCCAGAAGGACACCCCAAGAGCCTGAGGGGGGCCTCTTCCTTTGTCAGGCAGACGTAGGGGCCTGAGCCCACCTTGCTGAGGGAAAGGTCAGCCTGTTTTCTGGGAACCAAGCTTTGGGTTAGTGACTTAAATACTTCCTGTGTGCCCCATTCTGTGCTGAACGCTAGGCAGAACCTCATCTCCTTCCGAGCAACTCATACCTTAGCAGAGGAGGCCGAAAAGAAGTTTCACAACGATGTGAAATGTACATAGTATCACTGCACTGTTCACTTAAAATTCCATTAAATGATAAACTATATTTTAGCAGAATAACAAAAATGTGATCATGGTACCTCCCCACCCTCCTCCCCAACTGGAATGCTCTAGTGGCATCACCTCATCCTTAGAATAATGTCTAAAATGCCTAACACAGCTTACAAGGTCCAGCATGGTCTAATTCCTGTCAGCTCACCTGGGGAATTTCCTCTACTCTCCCCCTCGCTGCACACAATTCATTCATTTGCCTTCGGGTTAAGATTCTCTTGCCCAGCCTTCTCATCGTTTAGGCCTCAGCATAAATTCCTCTGGACCTTCAGTCACACGGGTCAGGTCTGTGTTTGAGCCTCTTATTCTGTGACCTGGCAGCTCACCCCTCTAAGCTCCCATTTTCCCAGCAGGAGAATGAAAATTCTCATAGTACTTTCCTAGTCTGCAGCCTTGCTGGCAGGAGCAGCAAAGACAATGCAGGCAGGTGCACAGCTCACTGGAGAGGGACTTCTCTGGTGTGTTGCCAAGCTGGCCTCCTGATTGGCCAGTGAGGCAGTCCTTTGCCCTGCAAGTGGGGAGAAGGAGGAGCACACCCACCCTAGACAGAGTTCTGTGCCCTGATGCTGAGGATCTTTGCAGTCCTATATCACCAAAGACCCTGCAATCCCTGAAGGACAGCAAAGAGAAAAGAGAAAAAACAGGGCCTTGTTCCCCTCACTTGCTTCTTCTTCTTCCTTGATGATGGCTCAGCAGCCAGGGTTCAGGGTAAGCCTTGAGTATCAGTGCTACCAGTTCCTGAATGTAGTTCCTGAAAGCAGGGACTACTCAGCCGGCTGTGGTTAGACGGGTCTGGAAGCCTGCCCCTGACAGGCCTGAGGCCAGAGCTGGAAGCTTCCTATGGAGCAACCTTGCTTCGGTGGCTGCTGTCTCCCCAAGTCCCACAGAGGATGTAAGTACTAGTTGTCTATGCTTGATTAAGTCTCTTAGGGCAGTGGAGGTAGGGGTGTGTGTGTGTGTGTGTGTGTGTGTGTGAGACAGAGAGAGAATGTAGGTATGTACATGTGTGCATGTGTGCATGCGTGTATGTGGGGGGGCTCTGGATCCCTGAAAGGGATATGTTTCTTTCCTTGGTGGCCAGCGATGGCCAGACATGGCCCCATTTGACTTCTCTAGCCTCCTAGGGCATCCAGCCCATCCTCATTCCATGGCCTTCTCTCCTGGCTTTAGAGTTCTGAGCATAATATTCCAGGCAGCTCCTCAAAAACGTAATGTTGAATTATGGCTCCACCTATGGTGTTTTCCTCTCTTTTCTTCCCTGACATATGTGTGTGACTGAGGCACCCATGGCTGTGGATGGTCCCCCATCCCAGTGCCACAGCAGCGTACTAACAAGTCATCTAGGTTGTGCCAGCAGAGATGAGTCTCTCAGAAGGGTGGGTTCTGAGCCCTTTGTGCCCCCTGGCCATCATGTCCAGTTTGCTCAGGGTTTCCTGGACCACTTTCAATGGACCCTGGTGCAGGTGGGCAGAAGAGGGTGAGGGATTAGGAGTAAGGGCTCTGGAGTCACATGGGCCAGGTCTATGTTTCAGCCTCTTCTCTTTCTGTGACCTGGCCACTCACCCCACTGAGCTCCCAACTCCCCAGCAGTAGAATGAAAATTCTCACAATACTTTCCTAGTCTGCAGCCTTGCTGGAAGGAACAGCAAAGACAATGCAGGTAGGTGCACAGCTCACTGGAGAGGGTCTGCTCTGGTGCTCGGCCGACCTGGCCTCCTGATTGGCCAGTGAGGCAGTCCTTTCCCCTGAAAGTAGGGAGAAGGAGAAGCATACCCATCCTAGAGAGAGCTCTGTGCCCTGATACTGAAGATCTTTGCAGTCCTACATCCCGGAAGGCCCTGCAACCCCTGAAGGACAGCAAAGAGAGAAAAGAAGAAATAGGGCCTTGTTCCCTTCATCCTCTCCTTTTTCTCTGATGAGGGTTCAGCAGTCAGCGCTCAGGGGAGGCCTTGGCAACCTTGCCCTGCTTGGTTGGGCTGGACTCTGGCCTTGGATTCCGTGGGTGACTCTCCCTTCCATCACATTCGCCAGGGAAACCCCGTGTCTGGGCCCTCAGCCCTAAAGTTCCTCCTCCAGATGGCAGCACTTGATTAATGCTTAGCCTGGGTCCGCATGAGAAACTGTGTGTGTGTGTGTGTGTGTGGTGTCAGTGAGGGGGGCAGGGTGGGGTGGGGGTGGGGGCAGGCCCTGTTTAGGACCCAGGAAAAGGAACTGGACCCTCTTTGGCTAAAGGGGAAGGCTGCAAGTGGTTGTCAGCCTCAGGACTCCCCAGGACAGTAACTCAGAGGCCCCCTTACTGGAAGGGCTGGGCTAGGGCACTGGGTGGGGTGGTGGGGGAAATGGAGAGGAGACACGGGAAGGACATTAAACATGCATTTTAGGGTTTGACATTTTAAAGGGATCATGTGGCAATTTCTATTTTAATTTCAGCACCTGTAAAAGTTATGTCAGTCATCTCTTTGGATAGGATATTGCCGGAGTAAACTCCAAGTGTGTATGTGTGGGTGCTCAAATTGAAGCCTAGCTAGAGGATCCTAGAGTGAGCAAGGCCGTCAGGGCAGCCCAAGCCCTCTGACTGCTGACAGTGGGAGGAGCAGGGAAGAGCTGTGGGGAGACAGAGGGCCTGGGTGCACACTCTGGGCTGAGCCTCACCTCTCGGGACACCTCTTCCCTGACTCCCCTTAGCTGACCTTCCCCTCCACTTAGCGCTTCCATCTCCCTCAACCTCTGCTGCAGGCTGCCCCTGGATATTCCTTCCTCTGGCCTCCTTTTCCCCAGATTCTTGCCTCATCTCTCACCGATCTGCAGTGCTGTGCGGCAGAGTCCCCTATGTGTACAGCCCTAACTTAGCTGATTAATGAATCTTTTCCCCATCCATAGGGGAACTTCTTGAGAACAAGGGTATGTCTGTTTCCCAGGGCCTAACATGGTGGGGGGGCACATAGGTGGCCACTAACAAATATTTGTGGAATGACTGGATGAGTGATTTTCATGATTTTAGTGATGTTATGTCTGTCCTTCCTTCAACTTGAAGCTATATAAGGAAAGAACTCTTACCTTTTCCCCCCACTCTAGTCCCAGTAGTATGCACTTGGTGGCATTATACTGCTGTAGACATCATCAGGTCCCTGGGTCCCTGTAGCAGAGTGAATCAGCCTTGGCAGACTGGGGTATAGCTGGCGGGACCATGCCATCCTCCAGGAAAGTGAGCTATCTTTGTGAAAGTCACATGCCAAAGCTCATAGCTACCCAGATTCTAAACATTCCAGACAGAATGGTAACATTAAGGACATCTGATGTTATGTCCTGCATTCTGTAGGATCATCTCATTTCATGAGGTGAGTTGATGATTTGGAAAGAAAGCAGATGGGACAGTCATTTTCCTGGTACAGAAGAGGAGGCCCTGAGAGGTTAAATGACTACCCAGTCACATAGGTAGGAGCAATGCCACCACAACTCTGCCTTTCAGAGTGCTGAGCATGGTCTAGACAGCTGAGATTCAATCAGGGCAGGGATCTGAACATGGGCTAACCTTGAGGGTAGCACCCAGGAAGTCTGGACTTGCTCCTTTGTCACATAATGGTGTCTAGAAGCCAGCAGACTGGGGAGGCAGCTCCTTTTCCTGAGCTTATATCTCCTCATCTGTGTGATGAGACTGTGCTGGGCTGAGGAGTCAAGTGTTCAACACTGTGCTGGGCTGAGGGAGTCATCATGCTGGAGGAAGATACTCTGGAGTGATAACAGGCACTGTAGGAGCACAGGCACTGTAGTCCCCTGGAAGCTATGGGGAGACCTACCTGTTCAAAAATGAAGTGCGGGCTTAGGGCTCCACCTCTGGGCTCCTGAATGTGCCCTGCAGCTTCTTCAGGAATAAAGGAATAAAGTGTCAGGGGTAGAGATCACTGAAGACCCGAAAACTTAGCAATATGGAGGCTGAAATGAAAATGAGTTTAGCGGAGCAAGGTGATAATGCCTTGCTCCCATGCCTATAATCCCAGCACTTGGGAGGCTCAGACAAGAGGATTGCTGCAAGTCTGAGGCCAGTCTGGGGTACATAGTGAGTTCAAAGCCAGTCTGAACTGCATAGCAAGACTCTTATCTCAAAAAGAAAAAAAAAAAAAGAAAGAAAAGAAAGAGGGAGTTCACCAAAAGCTTGGGCTCTAACCCCTATGGGATATCTGGGGATTTGAGGGCTAGCGGCTGTCAGATCTTGAATACCTTCCTCCACAGCCCCTTGCTGAGCTTCTCCAGCTGGAGTTGAGTGTGAGGGACCATGGCAGCCTCTCAGGAGCAGAATCCACCCCCGACCCTCAGGCCAGCACACGATCTCATCCATACCAGCAACATCTCTTTGGTTTTATTATTACAAACACACCATGACTCCATCGTATTCAGGAAATCTGGGCTCTACATGCTCTACATACTCTCTTTGCTACCTAGACAGGGCCACACAGAAGGGTCCAAGCCACGCACAGATGCAAGACAGTTGACAGCAACTGTTCAATTCATAGCTTATAATGATGCCATTTTTCCAGCTGTGCAGGAGCTCTACAAAACCATGCCAGGACTTCCCAGAATGCTGGATTACTTGATTCATGTTCCGTGAGCTCCACGATACTGCAGCTCCTTCTTCCAGGCACTCACATAAGCAGGAAATTCCAGGTTCGGGATAGGTCCTTTCTGGAAGTGAACATCAGGTAATGACATCCAGATCTCTGCATGCAGTGGGTTAACAGCCAGGTTTAGGGAGAACAAAAAAATAAAAAGCACATCTCTCTCTCCCATCCCCCCACCCAACTGAGGCTCAGATCTCATTATGGTGCAGCCCGTATACACTGAAGTGTGACCATTTGTCTCAAGCACATTCCAATAGTCTCTTTGGCAAACGGAGAGAAACTGGTAGGAAGTTGCTGAGGTGCTTTCCTCCTGTGGTCCTTGGTGCTAATGCTTCATCCTCTCTAATAACCTCTGGTAGACAGGGGCTGAAAAAGAGAGGGTGAGGGGTGAACAAGATGCAGCCTTTTCCACGTCGGTCAGAGACACTGTCAGTCTTGAGAATGGGGACTAAATGCCTCCTTTTGCCGTGCTTGCCTGCTTTTTGGTTTGTGAAGCTTCACCTCTTACTCAACAACTGCTGCTCTGGGACTTTCTCCATCTATCAGTTGGGACCCACATCCTTACCCAGGGCTCCTGCCAAGTCCTATGCAGCATTTCCATGCTCCCAGTGCTAAAACTCAGAGCAGCCCAAAAAAGGCTATGACTCTTACTATCTTCACTGTACAGAGAAAGAAACTGCATTCTCTATGTTTGACCCCACTTCACCCCAGTGGTCTGAGCCCAAAGGCCAGGCTTGTTTTATTGTACCATGACCTTCGATATACAGCAGATGGTAGGCTTGGGTCTGCTGGGGAGGTGGGTGCAGCTCAAACAGGACTGCAGGGACTGCCAACCCAGACCAGACTTACCTAGTCTCACGGATCTCTGGGAAGCCTGAAAGAAAACACAAGGTACCAAGTTTTCTCATGAAAATTACGCCTTCACCTGTTCATGGAGTAGCTTTGCCCATTGCTACCCTTACTTAGAAATGCTAGGGTAAGGGAGAGGAAGAGAAAAACAGAACTGATGGGCCCCAGAGAATCCCTCAGTCAGCCTCCACAGCCCTATCTAGTCTGAGCAAGCCCCTGTGAGTGGAGTCTGAGCTGAGCATTCTTGGGAGACCCCCATGCCATGTTTTCCCCTGGACAACAGAGCCCACAGTTTGAGGGCTGGGGCTGCATAGAAGTGGCTTCTAGGAGTAGGAGCACAGGCACTGTAGTCCCCTGGAAGCTACAGGGAGACCTGCCTGTTCAAAAGTGAAGTGCAGGCTTAGGGCTCCACCTCTGGGCTCTTAAATGTGCCCTGCAGCTTCTTCTCTTGAAATGTAAACTTCTATAAGGTGTCCCACCTTCCCATGGGTTCTACCTGGCCCAAGTAGCAAAAGAGCCTGTGTCCTAAAAGATCCTGTGTCCTGGGCCACCTGGAGAGCAGGAGGGGATGCTGGGAAGGTGGCAGAGAGGTTCTAAGAGGGAGGCAGGGCTGTGGCCAGCAAGAGAGGCTCCACACACAAAGCTGGCTCAGTAGCCCCATGTCCAGGATCTATACTGCCCAGGAGAGCCCAGCAGCGCCTAGGATGGCCACTGCCATGGAAAATGGAAGAACCCACAGAGGCTCAGGCATGGGGCTGCTAGAAGACAAGCTCAGGATGGGCTGCCCCCTCGGCCAGGCGGAGTCCAGAGCTGTCCTCGGCAACAGTGGATTCCTGGTGATCTGTGGCTCAGAGACCCTGTCTAAATGCCTGGGTTTTAGCCCACAAAGGAAATAGGAGCTGAATTCTCTGACATCCACCCAGACTAGGGCTGAGGATGCCCCAGTGGGAAGGGGAGAAGTTTTAAGACAGTCCCGAAAAAGCAGTCAAGAGAGACAGGGGCCAGAGAGCCTCTCCACGTGCCCAAGCAGAGGCCCAGGACGGCTCCAGCTAAGCATAAACTAGCGGGTATCTTACCTTGGAAAATGCTGATGCCTGTTTGAAGATTTCAAGAGCAGAGTCTGCCAGCTCATCCCCTCGCTCCTGAGGTCTGTTGGCTGGAAAGGGAAGAGAGGACAGCTTTGGTAAGAGGGAGAAGCCATTCGTGTGGCATTCCCAGCAGCCATGCGAGAGGCACTGTTGAGCTTTTGCACGCACATTTCCAAGTGAATTTTCCCCCTGTGACTTTTCATAACCCCACATGGTGGGTTCTGACCCACAGGGAGAGAGCTCAGAGAAAGGCGAATGCGCAAGTGAGAAGAGGAAGCACGGAGGCTCAACTGTGCTGGGGGTAAAGAGATACCTTAAGCAGGTGGGCTGGGAACTCACCACCAGCATCGGCATGCATATGAACCACTGGGCCTTGTGGGGGCTGAGACAGTGGGTGATTTAGCAAGAAACGTGTCCTGGAGTTCCTTAGTGTGGTGCATCTGAAACTACAGTTCCCAGTTCCCTTCTCAGCCAGCCACACAAGCACCATGTGAATGTCACCATGTCACATTATTCTGATCTTTATTTAATAATTTTCTACTAAGCACCAATGGCCACATGCAGAGGAGAGCCAGCTGCAGAGCGAGTGGGGCTATGCTATGTCCACCTCACCTGGGGGCTGCAGAACACTGGTGATGGCATAGACCACACCATTTGTGGCCATGATGTCAGTCTCGGCAACAGGCTCCTTATTGACGCTCACGACACCGTTTTTCTAAGAGCAAAAGCAATAGCAGCTGTTAGACATAGGGCACAGCTCCCCGGCTGTTTATTTGGCAAGCACACCTGTGCCCGGTCCCGCGCACATACTGGGGACCGTCTGATGAATGCAACAGCCCCTGCTCTCTGTAGCTCTTCAGTCCTTTGGATGGATGCCGCACACTTCAATTTATTTATTTATTTATTTATTTTTATTTATTTATTTTTTTTTTTTTGGTTTTTTTGAGACAGGATCTCGCTATGTAGTTCAGGCTGGCCTTGAGCTCACTTTGTAGACCAGGCTGGTCTCGAACTCACAACAATCCTCCAGCCTCAGCCTCCCAAGTGCTGGGATTACAGGCATGCGCCACCATGCCTGGCTAGCACACTTCAATTTAAAAAAATGCTTGTTTATCTGCTTCATCCAAGGAATGTTGATATCTTTGTCCCACTTAACAGAAGTGAACATTGAGACTTAAGAGAGGCAAAGTGCCTTTTTAAAAGCTACGTAGGTGGGACAGTGGAGCATAGAACACAGGCCTTCAATTCTAGCCAAAAGTTCCTTTCACTTTTCCTAGATCCAGCTTAATATTTTCTCATAGGAGGTCCACCTCAGGGTAAATCTATCTTCAATCTTCCTGAACAGCCCAAGGACTCAGGACGGAAAGACCCCAACACCTAAAAGTAGGTGCTGGGAAACTAGCAGGTGACCTGCAAAAGTCAATGAAGTCCCTTCCATTCCTAGCTCCTTTTGTGTTGTTCCGCGTTTCCAAGGATACCGGTAAGCAAGGTATACTGAAGATCAGAAGAGAGGACAGGCAGCCACAGCCAGTCTCACACGGAAGAGTGATCCCTCCATAAGAAAGTCAGAGGCCTCTGACCAGGTAGCCAAGGGGGTTCCCCGAGCTCCTCACCTCATTTGCTGCTGGCTACCTGCTCCTACCTGTTCCTCCTCTTTCCAAAGCACACTCTTAGCAAAGCTCCGAAGTACACTAGCATCCTCAAAGTGCAGAGCAAGGAAGGCTCCAAGAGCCGACCCCGGCATTGAGAAAGCTTACTGAGATGGTCTGGTTCATGGATTCGAGGGGCTGGGGTGGGAAAAGGTTAAGGGATGGCTCTCTCAAGACACCTAAGAATCACCTACTATCTCCCAGATGCCAAAGCAGATGCTTTATTCCCTGCAAGTCTGACAGTTATTGGTCAGGTCTAACTATAACCTCTATAACCTCACTTGTTCTCCCCAAAGACTCTCTTCTCTTTTCTCTCTTTCTTTGGACAAACTGTACTTGGGAATTCAGGGTGTATCTTAAAGCTTATGTGTGTCTACTGCTACCCAAGGTGAGATGAGCCCTGAAGCCCTGGTGTCAGGGCAAGGCCAGCCTTACACTCACTAGCACACTCACCGAGCTGACTTCTATCTTGTCTCCCTGGAGAGACTTCAGCCGTACCAGGGCCCCAATGCCTCCGCTAACCAGGATTTCATCACCGATGTGGTATTTCAAAATGTTGGCAAGTTCTTTGGCATTTCCTGCAGGTTTGTGGGGAAAAAGGAGGCAGAGTTAATACTTAGATTAGTAATTGGCATGGTCAAGGAGGACCATGGCCAAACATTAGGAGAAAAGCCAAACCGTTACCTGAGATGGAGAACTTCCTGTCCAGTTAACAAGCATTCACTGAGCACCTACTGTGTGCTCATGCTGTAACCCATCATCTGTCTTATGGTCACAAGGAGCAAGGACACAGACACAAGGAGCACATCCACGGCCATGAATCTGGGCTCTCTGGGATGCTGAGCTGTCTGGCTGCTACAAAGGAGTTAATGCATACTCTTCTGTGGATATGACTCATGTTTCATGAGCTAAATATTTGCCTGGAAATCCAGGGACCTCTCCAGCACTAGCATCTGGGACATTTCATCATCAGTATGGCTCCCGCCGGGTATAACACAGTAGAGAAATATTTAGACATTCTACCCTCAAATGCATATTCTGTTTGAGATGGTTTCCTGAAAGGAGAACTTAAAAGAATCAACAGCTGTGCTCTAGAGGCTTTGCAGCCTAGTTCAGGGCTGAGAGGGTTTTCCCTCCCAGCATCCCTCTTCACACGCCTCGGCATTCCTTTCAGGCAGCATCAGCTTCTCCACCAACTGGGGAAGGCATCTGGTTGCTCATAAAGGTGTCCTGGCCTTTCCCAAATTAAGTGTGGGAGGCAGTTTCTAAGGTGGCCAGTAGTCTTCTCACCTCTGATACTCCTGTTGCCAGCCAATGGCTGATTTACCAGGGCTCGTAGAGGCACTATTTCTAGTGCCTTGCAACTGAGTGCAGAAGTTTTGAAGCACTGTGGAGAGTTCACTTGGTTATTGATAAACCCACAGCAGGTCCAGGGGATGGAGCCACCTGTACCAACTGATTTGCAAGCATCCACAACTGGGGCTGGTAAGAGTTCCCTCCAACAAAAATACTGCCTGCAGGTATTTTTAGAACCAGTCAGGACCCGCTCCTTTTCAGGTCTCTCGGACCACTCTCCATTCTCCAGGTCCCTGGCTAACCTGCCCACAGGCCTGGGGATATGTCTGGGAAACACATTTGCTTGTACCCCTGCCTGGTTCTCACACTGCTGAAAATGAGAAAGAAGCAGGGTAAGCTCAGGCCACCTGGCGAGCATTCCACTCTTGCCAGGCTCAGAGAGGATGGAAAGTTTATGTTCAGAGTGAACTTTTCCCCTCTTCTCAGGAACAGCCATCAGCCTTGCAGATGCAGGCATTCACTTAGCAATAAAGAAAATTAAACAGAACACAAGTTTAGCTCCGAGTCGAGTGCAACCTGAGCCATTTATTGTCCCACAGGAAGGGAGGCATAAACAATGTGCACCTGGATGTTTGGCTAAGGTCCTTCCTCGTCTTCTTCCCCCTCCTCATGCTTACCTTGCTGTGACAGTGGAAGTGTCTTACGGGCATACAGGAGCGCTAAACATGGCAATCCCCACCCCCTCACTGTCCCCGTGCTGTTGATTGAAGATGTGCGGCTAGCACTGCATGCGTTGTCCTCACAACACAAGGACTCCTGTCATCCTCATTTTTCTAATGAGAAAGCTGAGGCTCAGATAGGTTAAGCAGTTTGCCACGGATCACTGAACTGGTGAATGACAGAATCTGAATCCATTTTCCTGGTAATTCAGGAGCCCATGCTTGTAACTACCAGCTTGCCTCCTAAACATTCTCATCTAAATTTCTCAGGGTCATTACTAACTTGATGGGAAGGCTTCTATCCTGAGGAACATTTAACACAGGTAAATGGCTTCATTATCATTCTTCTTGCAGGTTACTGGTGAAAAGTACCCTTTCCTGACCTGCCTGCTGGTTGTCCACTTTCATTCAGTTCAAGTCTGCCAGTGGCTGCCTGCTTTGGCGCCCCCTGGAGTTGACCTTAACAAACTGCATGACCCTGGCCTCCTGCCGCTGTAATGAGCCACCAGAAGGCCCAGCAGGCACCTGCTCTATGGGAGGTATTCTGGTTTACACCTGAAATGTTTCCCAAAGCCTCATGCACTCATAGGTGGGGCTTCTGGTAGGTGATTGGATTATGGGGCTTACAGGTGACTTGCTGTTAGGAGGTGGGATCTGGTCAGAAGAGGTGGATCACTGGGGGGGGGGCATATTTACCTCCATCTCTCCTAGCTTGATCTCTCTCTGCTTTATCTCTGTCATTCCCCTCTACCATGCTGCTCTGCCTTGGAACCAGCTGACTATGGACTGAAGCCTCTACAAACATGAGCCAAAATAAACCTCTCCTCTTCTAATTTGCAGGTGTTGGATATTATGCCTCTGACGAGAAAGGTAACACAGGAGGGGAGGGGAACTTTGTGACCTCTCTTGTCACGGTCCTGGCAGTGGCTGCAAATGGCCCTGGCTGCTGTCTGTGTCCTTTGTCCGGGCTCAACCTCTCCCTGGCTCCTGCCCTCACCCCTACATCCAGGCCAAGGTGTGCTAAAGGCTTCCCACAAAGGCCACCTCATTATTACCCTTTGATGACTCCCTTAATCCTGCCCATACTTCAGGTAGTCTCATCATTAAATCCCTTGAATCAATCCCTTTGCAAGGTGCCAGCTGTTTTCTGCTGGGGCTCTGATGGACTGTGACTTTAGAAAAGTGGAAATGTACTTAAATTGGTCTTTACCTAAGAGTTTGTTCAGTTCTTCTGGCGGCATGGCTTGGAAGGCTTCGTTTGTGGGAGCAAAGACTGTGTAGACTCCTTCCCGATTAAGGGTCTCTGTCAGCCCAGCAGACTGGATGGCGGCTACTAGCATGCTAGGGATACACACAGAAGATGTCACTTACCTGTGAGAAGGTGAGCAGGGCACATTTTCTTCACATACCTCAACATGGAGAGCAGTAGAGCCCAGACCATGGCAATGCACAGACCTTACCGGTTTTTGTACCCATGCTATGCACAGAGGGAATGATTCTAGTTTGCATCTTCCCTTCACCCAGTGTAAGTGCTATGATCCATTAAATGGACAGAAGTCAGAGCCCAGAAGGGGAGGGAAGAAAAAGGCAAGAGGTATGGCTGACTCAAGATGGCTCAGCCACTGGGCCCTGAGTATGCGATCTGGGGACAGCAGAGAGGGTGTGGTTTCCCAGGTCCTTAATCAGGTTGCTGAAATCAGTGAGGTAAATGCTCAAAATGACAGCACTCAGTGGTGAATAGCCAGAAATAGAGAACAGAGTAGAAAAATAGACTAATGTGGGGACTTCAGCTGCCAGTTGGCCAATTCTGCCCAGAGGGTGACAGATTCTTTGTACCCTCCAAGCTGTGTGTTCTTGCCCACTGAGACCTTTACAATGAGCAAGTGATGTCTTTCTTGAGCTTAGTCATAAAAATGCATCCCCCTTACCATGGATCTGAGGGTGATATTCCCAGGAGTAATGCTTCTTCTCCACTTAAGATTTCAAGGTGACCCACATCCTTACCCACCCCAAGTCTGGATGGTCACACCAGTGCACCTCTCGTGTTAGGGAAGTCTCTGGGGAAGTAAGGAGCCTGACAAAAAGCTGAGGTCCATCACTCTGCCCAATATGACCATTTGGCAGAAGTCCCACTCTGGGAAGAGACTGGTTACCTAAAGCGATTGTCTCCCTTTAGGACATCCATGACAGTCCCCGTGGGTGGGGTAAGCATCCGGTCCATGGTGAACAGGGCCCCGTACCGTCCCCTCTTATCATGGGCAGCAATGCAGCTATTCTCAATGCACAGGCTCTGCACAGAAGAGAAGCAGAGAGAAGAGGCCATTATTCTCCCAAGTGGGGCTTCCTAATTTGCTCAGGGGATCATGCTGATGGGAACAAACCCACAAAGGTCAGTGAATACATATTGGGTGGGTCACACAGATTGGGATAACACGATATATATTTTCCAGGAGAGAAAACAATACAAAATGGTCTTTCTCAAAGAAAGAATGACCTTAGGAATCCCAGTAAAGTTACACAGAGGCCCTATAATGAGAATATCAGTTACATAGGAGGTCCACTGACAATCAAGTAAATAGATGGAGGCCACTGATTTACTTATTTAATAGACAACGACCATCTTTAACCAAATGGTGCTGATAGACCCCAGACCAGGAGCAATGCTGAATTATGGTTCTCATTCGCCATCCCAGGGTAGCTACGGGATTTGAAGACAGAGAAGACACAGGAGAAGAGGAAAGGGAACATTTTGGGCCAAGCTGTGTTCACATTGTCTATACAGAGAGGTTTCTTTACATAAGTTCAGAAGGATTCAAAACCCCCATCCCTCCTCCCATGTGTTCATCCCTCTGGGCTCCCAGGGGCTTATTGCTTAGCAATCCAGGTCAGACAAGGGTGTGGTATATGCTCCAAGGTCTCCAGAGAAAGAGATTCTAATCCTGCTGCAGGATCTCACTTAACACTATATAAACTTTCCAGAAATTACTTCCTTATTAGAAACCAGTTCTTATGCAAACTCCTGCTTATTAAAGACTTTTTTACACTATACTAACATAACTTCCATTTCTTAGAGCTGAGGCAAAGAAAGGGGTGGGATTTAGCACCCAGAACTTACATTACGATAAACAAAAACTCTGAGTTTTTTGCCACCGAGCGTGTCCAGGGTCTGTCCGTGGTACAAATACTTGGAGGCCACCTGGTCTTTGACTATGTGGTTTAGAAGCAAATTCTTCATTTGGGCATCAATGGGAGGGGCTCCATCTGTGAAAGAAGGTGCGGTTAGGGCCAGCAAGACAGGCTCCTGTGATGAAGAGAATGGTGAGACAAATGCAGTGCAAAGCCCGTGCCTCCTTGAGGTTAGAAGTGGAGATTGAGAAACCAAGCAGAGTTGCCAATATTCCTTAATATCTGGCACCTTCTTTGGAAAAAAAAGTGCCCCTCATCGGGGGTGTTTGGAGCTTTGCCCGAAGAGAGAAGGGAAGCATACGCACACTTTGGCCCTCCTCTCTGTCTTCTGTATGACTGCAGCTAAGCTAACCCCCCATGCGGACCTCCTGCCTATACATTGGTATTGGCCCTGCAGATGAAACCCTAGATGGTCTACTCTCCTGGCAGACACAAAGCCTTGAGTTCTGAAGAACAGATCCCCAAATGCATTTTCAGTTCTGCCAAATGAAACAACAGTTAGTCTAAATTTTCTGCTGGAACCTCATCTGCTTTGGATTGAGCGGGGTGGAAGGTCTAAGGTTCCATGGGTGCTGTAAATCAGGAGAGTGTCAGGGAGCTGACGGGTGGGGGTGGCTGCTCCAAGAGATGGATGGGGTACTTTTCCCACATTACCTTTAAACACAGAGTTCAGGGGGGCCAAGAGGGTCAGCCGCTCGTTTCCAGAGAGATACGTGCTGAGGCCAGCTTGATTGAGGAGGTCAGTGACTGTGGAAACGTCAGACTCTGCAGCCAACTCAAACAGTGTCTTGGCTACAGGAAGGACAAAGGGGGTTCAAAAGTTAACAGTGTTGTTTGCACTTATCATTCATCCACCCCAGATCATGACTCTCATCAGCAGGAATGTCATCTTGTGAGTCAACAACCCTCGGAACACAGCAGGGCCTAGTGGGTTTGTCGTCCGAAAACCTAACCAGTGGGGAAACGGGATGAGCTTTGGTTTGATGGAAGGCAGCAGCTGTCCCAGGCCCTGAGACAGCTTGATCAAGGCCTGCCTGATGCTGGGGAGGAGGCCACATTGCTGTACAGTGGCTTCTAAAGAGTGCATCAGGCCGTAACCACACACATAGGAAGAGTCTGTCTCTCCCTGTGCGATTCCTTCACTCATGGGCTCGATAGACACGAGCCAAAGTCTGTTCAGTCATGCCCCCCGAGTCAGTGACCTGGGAAGGCTTGGGTGCTATTGAGAAAGCATGTGCTCTGAAGTCAGCTAATGGCCCTCTGTATCTAGCTACAGCAGGCAGAGCATCTGAAAGGCTTCTGGGATTGTGTCTCTCTTCCTGCATACCGTTAATGGTCCCCACTGCCTCCAAGCCAGTGTCTGAATTCCTGTGCCTAACACTCAAGACTTTCCATAATCTGGCTATACCCTACCAGTTTACAGTGGCAAATAGGCTGCAAGCTGAGTCCAAGCAGGGCAGTGGCTCAAATGGTCCCTGAATCTCCACCACCCTGGCACTAGGAATGGCAGGAGGGATTGTAGGCTGGACAGGGCTAAGGTTCCCAGAAGCCTGGTGTACCTGAATCTGGAATAAGCAGCTCATCAATGAAGTGGATCACACCGTTGGTAGCCAGCTTGTCCTTGTCAGAGATGATAGCCTTCCCATTGATGGTAAGCATGTCCCCACTGCAGCCCACCTCCAGGGTGGTGCCCTCCAGCGTCTCCATGGACAGCCCTGAGACAATGGCCTCGGCACACATGGCCGACTTCAGGATATGGTTGTTCAGCAGATCTGGGGGCAGAACAGGACACAGATAAAGTCAGCATGCTTCAACCACACCTCAGAGGTCAGCTTGCAGCCTGCCCAAGCCGTGAGGACCCTGTTCTATCCCATAAGTACCTTCAGACAGGCTGGGCACCACAGGGTCTGGGGCCTCCTTTCCCCCTGCCTGCCACCCTCTAAACCTGGCTGGACTCTGCAGTCTGACTGCTTGAGTTTGAATCTCATGGCCACAGGCCAGCTGGGACCCTAGGCAAGCCATTTAGTGTCCTCCAGTGTCATCTTCTGCATCAGTAAATTGGAGATAAGAATAGATTAGTCTCCTCTGCAGAGTTAAATTCTCCGCACTGCCTGGTGACAGAGCAAATGGTCAAAGAATGTCAGTCATTAGCTTATGAGTTCTGAACTTCTGGTGAAAGGAAAAGCGCAAGCCAGCCTACCAAGGGGCTTTTTAATCTACTGGGTTTTATAAAAAAAAATGTAAAATAGGGTAGGAAAAGTGGAAACTGCAGAACAGGAAAGCTGTGAATTATCTGTACATTTTATTTGCCCAGGTTTTGTTCCTTTACCCAAGCTACCAGGATCTACCTTAGAGGTTGGGAATGGTGATCAGTGAGGTAAGCTCTTTGCTATCCCATTTGCCTCTCCTGTAAATAACAAATTCAATTGCTTACTTACTTGTCCAAGCGTTACTTTAGGGAAAGGCAGGGGCTAGGGTCCCTGAGAGGGCTTCTAACGCCATCAGGGCTCTCACTGGCATTCATGACCTCTGTGTGGAGGAAGCTACAAGGACAGTCAAGAAAGATGTGTTCCCACGCCAGGCGGAGCAGTTTCCTGGCTACTGTTCTCCAAGGCCGCCAAGGTCCTTTGTCTTGCTTTCTCACCACAGAGGTGAGTGCCAGTCTGTTGCTGAGTGTGGGAACCCAAACTGCGCTGTCACAGACAGGAGGAAGTTCTGAGGCCCCGCAGAGGCCTTGGGCTGCTGGAAACTGCTTAGAAAGCCAGTGCTGACCTGATTCAGCCAGACGGGAAGACAAAGAAGAGCAAGACCCTACAGGGGCAGTGAGGCCTTTGGGAATCTTGCTTCTCAGAGAAGGAAACCGAAGCCCTAGGGTGGGGTGTGAATGACCTGTCAGGGCCACTCAGGGAGTAAGCAGGGTCAGGACTGGAGGCTTCAAATGGAACATGCCTGCTTTCTGTCTATCTTCCAGCCCACTAGTAACAACAGGACAGTGTCAGTGGTTGAACCTTTACCTTCAAGTCCACAGCTACAGCAAGAGAGAGAAAGAGAGAGACAGCCCTTGCTTTAGTAAACGAGTTACTGAGCAGAAAAAGCAGATCTATAAAAGCATAAATTAGGGGTCATTTTTTTCTTGCACTTTATAGTAAGGGGTTATGATATCTGTGAAGGTAAAAATATCCTATGTACTAAAGCTGTTTTAATGGGAGGTACAGTTGGTCCCGTGAAGGCCCATGTGCTAAAGGGTGACACTGGAGGTTGTGGATGCCCCAGTAAGAGGTGGGTTCTAGCAGGAGGTCACTGGGCATATGGCCTCAAAGGGGATGGTAAGACCCAGTCTCTTTCTCTCTCTTTTATTCCCTTCACACCAGGTGAGCAGCCCCAGTGCCAGAGGGCCAAAAGCAATGGGGCCAACCAACTATGGACTGAAGTCTCCAAAACTGTGAGCCAGACGATGGCTTCTCTGAGCTGGCCATCTCAAGTATTTGTTACAGTAAGGGGAGGCTGACTAACACAAGGGGGAACATACTTCTAAGTGGGAAGCAAAGTATGCTGAGATGTATTTAAATCTCATCTCCTCTAGGCAGCCTTTGAGACCTTGAGTCTGCCTGGGCCTGACCCTCATTCCCAGTGTGTTGACCATCTCTGTTGTTGCATTTACCAGTTCAGATCCCAACATCCACTTTGAGACCTGCCCTACCAGACTAAGTTCCTGAAGACAGACTGGACTTTGGGGGCCCCAGTTCTCAGCATAGAACAGGCATCTAGAGGCACCCAAACCATCTGGAAACAGAACAGATCCCATCTGTGCTTTCAGAAACGTGCCCTTTCTCATCCCTGGCTAGCCAGGAGAACATTCTAAACTTATAGGCTGTCTGAGAGCAGAAGGCATTTTATATAGCATGTAGCAAAGGTAGACTTAAATAGATTTAAGAGAAATGATGTCATCTCTGAACTATATTCGGGAGGAATAGTGTGGTGTGGTAGTTGGGAACTTGGGGCCTACTCTGCTGTCCGGGGGAGTCTAGGCTCATAAGGCAGCTTAGTGCTTATGGCTCCTGAGAGCTCCTGGAGTTGAAAGGGGCCAGGTAAGGGGAGGGAAAAACCCCCTAGACTCCCTTCCATGTTTCTCCTTTCCTCCCTTCTGGCAGTCATCATGCCCCACCTAACTCTGCAGCCCACTGTGGGGGTGGGGATGGAGCCAGCAGTGGAGAGTTAAGAGCTCACTGTGCTCATTTCTACTATAAGTCTGACTTACCCATGGGCCTTCCAGTCAGACATAGGAAGCTTGAAAGAGTCAGCATGATGATTCCATTTCAAGGATGCCACGACCCCTGCCCATACACACACCCTGCACTCCACCTGACAGCCTTGCTCTGGCCTTCCTCACTGAGCCTTTACCTCTCCCTGTGTCTGTGGAGCCTCAGCTATGGACTTCTGAGTCCCTTCCATACCTCAGCCCTGCACAAAGGCTTCAGGTATGCAGGTTTGTACCTTAGAGCCAGGGTGGGGCTCTGCTGTAGATTCTGCAGACCTGGCCGGATGGGAGACATGTGCCTGGATGGTTCCCAGGTACAGCTGTGGTGGACTTCCTGAGAGTCACCTCAGGGCAGGTAATGTGCCTATCTTCGACGAAAGCAGGTCTTGGGCATAGTCTGGCTGCTCCAATGAGGCAGCACCAGGAATTGAGTGTCCTTACCTCTCAGGGCCTCTGGGTCACCCAGGATCCGGTTCAGAGTCTCAGCAGGGATCTTCTCAAAGGCCTCATTGGTTGGCGCCAAGAGTGTGAACTGACCATCGCCCTCAAGCACGGTGTTGAGCCCCGACGCGGCAACAGCAGCCTGTGAGGGGAAGGAGGATGAGTGCTCCCTGAAGGCTCCGGGTTCTGCCTAGCAAGATGCACACATGGCCTCGCACATCCCCCCTGGGGACTCAAGGCCAACAAAAAAAAGAGAAGCTCAACCAGAGCTCATCCTCACCGCGATCTCCGTGTGATCTGGCCTGGTCTGTGCACAGTCAAACTGGCCAACTTTCAGGACTTCTGCGCCTCCTTCTTTCCTACCCGCAGGCCTTTGTCCTGCAGTCCTCTCTGTGCTTTCCATGTTCTTCACTTCTTTGACTCCTATTCCTTCTTTAGGCCTTTACTAACACACTGTTTCTCTGAGATGCCCGCTGGGCATCTGGCCCCACCCCCAGGTCCCCAGGCAAAGTGAGTCTGTCTGGTAGAGATACTTCCTCAGCTTGTGACCATCTAGCAACTGTAATTCCAGACTTATTGGAATTTATGTGATTCATGTGATCTGCAGCATAGAACCATGGCTGGGAGGTAGCAGGTGCTTAGTAAGCATGTGTTAGAGAGAAGGAAAGATGAGCATGGGAGGGGGGCCCAAAGGGAAGAATGAGGGATTATTTGCCCAACATAAAGAGCAAGAGATTGCTCAAAAGGACCAAGTTCTATTCATCAAAATATATGCCAACAACTTTGTGGCACTGCCTTTCCCTTGAAGAGCCCCTGTGCCTTGAGTGACCAAGAAGAAAGGCAGGGAGAAGAGCTGGGGAGCCAGGCTCCTAGGGCTCTCTAGGGCCAGCTAACAGCTGGCCCATCTGGCTTGAGTGTGTTTGTCTCTCTGTGTTGGAGATCTCCAGGGGCAGCTCCACTCCCACTTGTATCCTTTGTGGTTAGAAAGTTCTCCTTGACCCAGGGCAAAAACCCTGACAAGGCAGCCTGCATTCACTTCCTCCTGAGCGGATGCTGCCAAAAGAAACGCCCGTTCGCCCCTCCAGTGGTAAGACAGATGCCTGCTGGGCATGGGGGAAGGAACAGTGTTCTTGTGGCCCCAGAGCAGTGACAAGCCAGCACAGGAGTAGAACCTAGGCTCCTGTGTTCACATGAGTGGCCTCTCTGCTAGATTGAGGGTCCGTGGAAATGCATATGGCTGGAGCAGGGGCCCAGGGTGGGGACATGTGGTCCAGAAGCATCATGTAACCCGACAGGCCATTTATTCTACTGCCCCCATATGGGAGTCAGCATCAGGAGGATGGGCCCTCCTACCCACGGAACCTACAGTGAAAGCCCAGGCAGCCGAGGGCCCAGAGGACCCCTTTCTGCTGCTACCGCACACAGCTTTCCAGGGGAGCCAAAGGAAAGCTTTACAACAGAGAGAACAGACAGGAGGCACTACACAGGATAAGTCAAGTTAAACATCTAACTCATGGACTCCCCCTAGCCCCTTCCTCTCATGAGACATTCAGATATCCTCTGCTCCTCCTGCAGAAGGGATCCCACCAGGCCCCTCTCGGGACGCTGTGCATCCCCTGGGGCAGCCCCTTACCCGAAGCGTCTCAAGGGTGTCCTCAAGCTCAATGATCTGCTGGATGTTGTTGGTGGTGGTGGAGATGACCTGATCGATGAGATGTACCACACCATTGGTTGCATGGTGGTCAGCTTTCAGCAACCGAGCACAGTTGACGGTCACGATCTGCCCGAAGAAGAACCAAGGGTGAGTGGCTAACACAATGAAGAACAAATCTGGGAGCCTCAGGAGACAGTGCCTTCACACCTAGCAGCAGAATGCAGTCCCGCCTGGTGTGGAACAACAGCAGTGCACAAGGAAAAGTAGACCCAGGAGCAGAGGGTATCTATGCATTCTCATATTGTAGGACAGAACCCTAGAAAGCAGTCCTATGTATGGGGCAGACTTGGGCTCATGACATACAGAACAATGCTGTGTGACTGGGTATGCTCATACCCCGTTGGGATAGTGGTGGATCTGGATGTTGGAATTCTGGTACATGGAGGTGAGGGCCATGCCATGCTTCAGCTCATCGGTCAGGACCCGCCTGTCTACCATGTGGTAGCGAAGGGCGTTGAGCAGCTCGATGTTGACATTGCTTACCAGGGAGTCCAGCACTTCCTAGAAGGAAGGACAAAGTGATAGTTACGGTTATGGTTAGTTATGGCGTTTCAAACCCCACATTCAAGGGATGGGTCCCTGCTCCCCTCGGAAGTATGCTTTCTAAGCCCCAAGTGGACCCAGGCCTCTCTTCTGCCAAAGACCCCTCCTCACGAGCACCAAGGCTTGCCTGTCTCAGATGGGATGAACAGGAAGAGACCTAGTCTCTTCTCTGAGGGGTTAAGAGAAAAGCTTTCCAAAACAGTTCCTACAGCATCCCAATCTTCACACATGCCCAGGCTTTAGGGAGTGGGGTAGGTCCCTAGAAAAGTCCTCTGGGCAGATGGAGGTTGTCTCACCGCTGGCAAAGAAGCCCAGGCCTCATTGCTAGGGGCAAAGATGGTGAAGCTGCCAGGACCCTCCATCTCAGGCCTCAGCTTCTCTGTGCGGTCCGTGTACAGCTGCGTGGTGGTGGATCCAACGACTCCCAGGGTCTCATAAAGGTTTGAAAGTGGAAGAGCTGCGGGAACAGAGGATAAAAGAGGGACGACCTCTGAGGGCCCACCCCAACCCAAACACCTACCCTTCCTTCTCTGCCAGAGAGGCAGTAGATGGGGCGGGAAGTGGGGGGAAAGCCCAGAGAGTTGATGGCTGAGGAGCTCAAAGCTTGCTACATGTTTCTTAAATGACTCAGTAAATCAAATGTCTGTCTGCATGAATACAGCTAATTGGTAATTTCTAATTATTTTAAACACAGCAGGACAAAGCTTTTGTTTCCTAGACATTTATATAACAAGGGCAGGAATGTACACCCAGAAATAGATATCCTAATTTTAAACTAGTGTTATAGATTATCTAGTTATCATACATTAGCTAGTTATTATAGATTATTTAGTTATTAAAACTAGTTCCCTAATGGCCTTTACTAGAGTGAAACAACTATAAATCTTTCACATAGTTTCTACATTTGCAGGTAATGAAATGTTATTTCTACAAAGCAGCCTACAGTGGAGGAAAGCCTTCTTAGAAAGTATACCCAATGTTCTTCTTCAGAGTTCTGAAACCGGGGTTCAGGGGCTGAGCTCCCTGTTAAACTTGAACTCCTTTTCCCTTTCTGTTCATCCCACTTGTCCTTCTATTAGTGTTAGTAATGCCAGGACCCCACCCATGCCAGCCTCAGCCTCCTTGGGACTTCAGGACCAACCTAATTGGCCTCTCCCTCAAGTTTCAATCTCATCTTCTTAATTTAAACAAATAGCTTATATTTCAAAGTTAAAATACAAACTCTGCTGCCTAGTTGCTGGTGATATGTGACACGAAAGAAAAGACTGCTAAGATTGACAGGTGTCACGCTGTCTGTGGCCCAGTGTGGCCATTCATGGTACTCGTGGTTGGCTCTAGGTGAGCCACTTGCCTGTGGTTCTCCTCTCTGTCACTCCAGTAGGCCACATTTAGATACACAGTGAATTATGGTAGCCTGGGGTTCCCTGCCCAGCCAGAGACCAACTTACCCTATCTGATCTCTAGCAGGGCTAATGGAAACCAATGGGCTGTCAGGCCTACCCTACTTGGTGCATTCAGAATCATCCTCTATAGAGACAAGGGCAGGAGACTGCATGTACTTAGGCGAGGCCTCTACTAGTCAGGCTAGAACTGGAGTATGCTCCACCAGCTTGTTGAGGGGTCAGAAGGAGCACTTCAGGGAACCTATTCCTTCTCAGGAAACCCATTCTCCACCCCTGAAATGGCCCTTAGAGGGCAGTGAGCACATGCGAGAATGCCAACACATCCTCACTGCACAGGCCCCCATCCAGACTCCGCTGCCTTTTATGTTGGTGCCTCCTCTCCTACCTCACCCTCCACCCACACTCACAGGCTGAGCCCGGCTTATTCACCTGCTGGACAGCCCTTCTCTCCTGGGACCTTCTCATATCCAGGACAGCACTCGTAGCTGATGACCCTGTAACAAGATGCATACACGTGTGTCAGGCAGGGTTTCACTCCTCTTGTGCCCTCAGGCTCTCTCCAGGCACAATCACCTCAGTGGCCAAAGAACAGAAAGGACAGGTGTGACACCTCCACCCCAGCAAGTCACTAATGAAATCACAATTGTGTCTTTGGTTGACAAAGAGCTGTTCACTCCTCCTTGGCCCTGTAGAATGATGGCTGCCAGTGCCTACAGAAGACCAGCTGGAGAAGTGGGTTGTGGCAGCTTATTTGATAGCATGGTCAGAAGACACAACTCTACCAAGGATTTATCTCAGACACAATGCCGGGGGAGCCTGCTGGTTAGTGCCCTGGGAAGGTAGCTGGGAGCAGTGGGCAGACTTGTACCAGCTCTAACTGTAAACCTGCCATGTGCCCAGCTGGTCCCATCTCCTCTTCATCTCAGTTTGCTTGCCTGTAAAATGCATGTGTACATGGGCAGAAGGGAGATGGAGGAGAAATCACTGGATTAAATCTCTCATGCGCTTCTGCTTCTTCAGTTCTATAACTAGAAAGGGTGGGGTGTACGTGATCATCAAGCTTTCCTCAGCCTTCATAATCCAACTTTAAGATAAAAAGCAAAGCTCTTATGGAGATGTCTTTCTATCTTTTTAAATGAAAACTGAATTAATAAAGATATGTTTTAGCTTCAGACTGAAAATATACAAAAGATTACACACTACAGTGTTCCCCAAACATCTCATCTTCACCCCACTGTCTTCCAGGAGGCACCAATATGGCCAGTTGCCAGAAGTCTCTACACGCAGATGAATCCAGGCCAGCAGTGCACCGTTTTGACTTTTGAAGGCATTTGTTTAGGGAAGCTGAAGACTTTCTCTTCTTACTTAGATAGGCCACTATGGGACACTGACCACCATCTACAGGTCTGAAAGACATAGCTTCAGCCAACCTGAGGTTCTGGGGAAGCATAGAAGACTAGTGTCATGGTTTGTATCCAGATGTCCCCTCAAAGCCTCATGCAGTCATGGGGTGGGCTTCTAGAGTTTATCATTGATCCATGGTCCAATGCTGGGATTATGGCTGAGAGTGCTACACCTGCCCTGGGGTGAATAGTTTGCACACAGTGTAAGGGAGGGAGAGAGGCTGGTTGCCCCAGCTTCTCCCCTTTGCTCTTGTTGCTTTTGTTGTCTTTCACCGCCACGAACTGTTGCCCCTGCCATGTGCCACTCTGCATTGGAGCCAGCTGATTATAGACTGAAGCTTCCACAATCTGTGAGCTAAATAAACTTTCCCTTCCTTTATTCTGGGCATCAGGTATTTTGTCTCAGCAACGAGAGAAAAGTAACTGAGGCAACTAGGAATTTCAAATAACGTTTCAAGGAAAGGCGAGTTTGGAAAGCCTGTTCCCAAGGAAGACTTGATTTAAAGCCCAGTCTCCACCTTCAGCTGAAGTCCTCAAGCAAGGGCAAATAGCCATGTCCTCCCTCCCCTTATTTCTCATACACGGTTATGCCCTTTGAGATGAATGAGAAGTCAGCCTGGAACTGAAGTGAGTGCTACCAGACTTGTTCATGCGTGAAGGGAGGTAGGCAGAATAAGAAGAAATATGGCTATGGGCTGCCAGAGGGTGCTCTCGGTGTGCATGCGGGATCTTGCTCCTGCGAGTGCAACTGGAATGAATCAAGCTGCATGTGTCATGTGATTAGAAATGGGCTCCCTGGAAAAGACTGAGGCATGACAAGTTATACACATTCTTCTCTGTGTGCTCTATCTTCCTGCTTCCTCTTCTCCCTTCCTCCCACCTTCCTCCCACATTTTCCTTTCCAACCTTGCATCTCTGTGCTTGTAACAGTTAAATAGGACTGATCTTGGCCCAGCCACAATTTTGCCTTCAGAAACTAAAGTCATCTTTGCAATGAAAGAATTGGTTGATACACAACTTGTAAAAACAGCATCGTGTAAGAGAAACAGTCTCAGAATCAGGAGACTTGGCGCATGATCCATCAGCAACTGGCGAGGTGACTTTGAAAGTCTGTGTCTGTGTCTGGGCTCAGTTTCTTGATCTATAAAAAGGGGTGAAGTTAAACTAGGTGATTTCTACATCTCTTCCAACCTCACACCCCTATTTCTAGTCAGTGGGCTAATACCTAGGGAAAGAGAGGCACTCTCTCACAGAGTGAGAGCATGTACCCACTTAAGTCCAGGAAGAGCGCCAAGCCTTGAGCCCATAGCACCTGGGACATCTGTGTGTGAGACTCCAGGCCTTCTTTGATAAATACTAGGGTTCTGTGGAACTGGGGAGGTGGGATTAGGCAAACACAACCGCTCCCCCGACTTAGTTTCTTTCCAAAAGTGGCTGTGTGAAATTCCAGAGCAAGAGAAGCACATTGGAAAAACAGTCTTTCACAAAAAATCTTCATCTCTGGGGTCCCCAGAGCACATAGGTGCAGCATACCCCACAGCTTGGAACTTCCAGCCAACCAGCCAAAGATTTGGTTTCCAAAATGTTGGCTTCTGAGTTCCATTCCAAAAACTACAGGACAGCTGAACATTCAGTGACCTTACCGAGATTTCAGTGAGAACTAAAGAGAATCAATTCCCATGCGAACCTCATGGTTCCTATGGGGGTGTGCATGTGCCTCGGAAGTATAGAGAATGACACCAGGAAAAACAGGGTACTGAGGGGCTAGGGAGGAAGGGACAGATGGAAGTAAAATGGTCTCAGCTAGGTGAAGTCTATGGGGTTTCTTAAAATCCTAGGTGGGTAGAGGCAGCCCTAAGATTCTTCTCATACTTCAAGTCCATATTTTTGTCCTTATCGTTGTTGCTTTTGACTATGTACACATTTGGGGAAAGCAGACTGTTTGACCTCTGTCATCTCTAGAATGACCCAGGCCGGTTCTGCTCAACATTCTGTACCTCTCCAGGTGGGCTCTCTACACCCATATCTTGCTGCAGTGAGACTGAGTCCTACTGTCAATCACACATGGAAGACTTCTGCAGCATGCTCCCCACGCCAGAGGATCAGTCTCTGAGGCCTCAAACCCTCTCCAGTCTAAGGATTTATCCTGGTTACCTGACCACAGACCTCTCCCAGGAAGCTTTCCCAGGAGGGCAACTCTGCCTAGCACAGCAGCCTTATGGCTTATGATGGTTCCATAACTGATGGGTTCCCTGCTTCTGGCTGTCCCAATAAACTAGCCCTTCTCAGGACCAGCCTGCATGGCCCATTAGAAACAGAGGGCAGCTAGAGACTGTAGAGCAAGAAGAGAGCTCCTTGAGATGATCGTGACCAGAACTTCCTGGGCTGCAGTCTCCACTGAAATCTGCCCCACCTCCCAGGCCCCAGGGTCCCACTCTGCATGGGTCCTGACTTGGGGGCAAACACAGATGTTTTGGGGGAGATGGGCTGGGGTTGAGCACAGGACCTGGCTCTGATGCCATCTAGGATAAATGCAGAAAGTATGGAACCCATGAAGAGCCTCCTGTCTGTGCTCCCCCAGTTGCTAGGTGCTCCTGTACACGAAGGAGCAATCAGTCGGTCTCTAGATCCTCTGATCAGCCAAAGCTGTTCTGATTAAATGCTCCTAACTTCTGCTTGGCCAAAGGCAAATAAAGAAAAACCTCAGGTCAGAAAAGCATCCTCTGTAGGGCAGTGAGCTACTAAGTACCTTGTTCTAGCTTCTCAAGACAGAAGAGTAATTTGAGGAAGAAAATGAGGGAGTGTGCCTGATTTAGAAGGGCATTCAAATTAAAGGAGGGGCGGGAAAAGCACGGTGTCAGTGCAAGGTCTAAGTGTAGAGATGTGTGGGAAGCTGTCCTCCACTCCCTCTAACATCTTCTCTCGGGACTGGGCAGAGAGAAGTATTGGTAGTTCTCTCCTCAAAGTAGTTTTCCTCAAAGCCAATGCAAAGTTAACGCAGTCACTCTCCAAGTATACTTCACAGGTTCAGCCAGCTCTCCTGGCTGTAAATGCTCAGGCGTCACTCTGACTCTAGGAGGAGATACAGCAAGGAGTGGAGCCTGAGAGCCCGTCTCCTGTGACAGAAGGTAAACCATTCAGTGTATCAGGGTTTCCAAGCGGAGTCACAGAGCAAACACAAACCTGCGGTGTCTAGACATTGGGCATACCCCATGGACTGCCTGCCCGGGCGGTTCTGGTTTTATTTTTCTCTCACTCCTGGCCTTGGGAAGGTGGGTGAGCTGATTCTTGAGGTCTCTGATAGAAGGTCAGGCTCGCTTTAGACAGCTGCCAGTAACGGCCTGTGCCAGTGCCACACCACGTACACCAGCCTGGGTGGTGACGAAGATGGAAACTTCACAAAATGCAGATAAATGCTGTGGCAGTTGCTTATATGTGGTATTTGAGGGTGTTTGGGGGACTCTAGGATGTTGACTGCATCCCCTCGGTTCCCATACCCGCCATCGAATGAGGGGTTTGAGGATCCCCGTTGCTGCAGGAGATCCTCACGACCACCATGCTGGGAGGGAGCAACTGAGGTGAGGTTGGGGCCGGGCAGGCTTCTCTGAAGCCAAGGTGGCCTTGTCTCTGGGACTCACAGCCACAGGTTTCAGGGTTGCAGAGACAGACCCTCTCACCTGGGCATCTCCTGTGTCACTGACCCTGGGGTGGCACGGCAGAGAAGACAAACCTCCCCCCTGCCAGTGGATGCGCTTGGGCAGGATGCTCAGGCTTGCTGAGCTTCAGTTCTGCCATCTCAAACAGGCTAACAATCACCCTCAGATCATAGAGAAACTGTGACGTGTGTGGGCTTACACAATAGAAGCACTAACAGAAGCTTGGTGTTTATTAAATGCTCAATTACTGAGTTTCTTCTAAAAAATCCAAACAAGTAAATGCATGACTGCTCAGGTAGCAACTTTAAAATGGAGCTAGATTAGTAAATTCCTTGAAAGCCATGTCCTCCATGAGACCACAGATTGAATCACATTGTGATAAATAAATCCTTTACAACACATTAGTTGAACTCAAAAAAGAGGGCCTGTATTCATTTTCTATAGTTTTCTGTAACAAATTACTACAAATTCTATGCATATACCATATAAACAATACAAATTTATTATGTTATAGTTCTAGAAGTCAGAGTCAGGAGTCTGCCTCAGGGAGCTACAATACAAAATTGCATTTCATCCAGGGACTGTAGGGACCATCTATTCCTTGCCTTTTCCATCTCTTAGAGGCTGCTGCATGCCTTAGATTGTGGCTCCATCAGTCCAGTTTCAGCTTTCACTATCACATTCCTTCTCTGACTCTGCCCTATGGTCTCCCTCTTATAATAGAGGACCTTATGATTACACTGGACTCACCACATAACCCAAGACAATCACCTTCTCACAAGATCCTTAACTTAATCACATCTGCAAAATGTCCCTTTTTGTATGTAAGGGAACATATTCATAGTTCTGCAGATTAGGATGTAGGCATCTTTAGGGGTGGGAGTTCCTACCAACCACAGGTCTTTATGCCATATACCATATAAGTGCATGCCAAGTTCTCAGTAGAACAAATTTCTATGTCAGCTAAGCAGCCTCCTGGTCTGCAGAATGGTGTAGAGCATTCAGAAGCCACTGCCAGCAGAAGCCTTTGTTGAATCTCCGGTGTTCGATGCACGTCCAGTCTCTATTACTTTGGAGCAGATTATCCACGGAGTCCCCACCAGTTGCACAGTAAATAGGAAACACGGAAAAGGTGTGGTGTGGGTACACAGACAGCCTACATGGTCTTTCACTGTTCTTTTCCCTCTTGGGTTCAAGATTATGGGATCCAGGAAAGGGAGGAGAAGGATGGCTCTTCTTCAGCTTCACATCAGATGTCTCTGAGTGTCCTTCCCAGGAAGCAGACCCACCAGGTGGAAAAGCTTGACCATATCACAGCTGCCTTCAGTGAAAGTTAACTCTATAAGCTTTAATGTGCCACCGAAGCATTGTTATTTTGCCTCTGGGTAAAGCAGCACTTGCTACTACAGAAATGGCGGTGCCCTGCCAGCTCATCTTGGCTCCAGAGAATGGCTTTTGAACTTGTGAAATGTGTTGCTCATGGGACAATTGCAAGACTAGGATGGACGGCCCTGCTCTTCCAACTTGCTAGCTTCCACATCAGCCATTCCTGTGCCATGTTCGTGATAGCTGAGCTCTTGCTATGACCGTGACATCCCCATGATGTCACCTCTGACCTGGCTGTTAAACAGACTCCTCTCTCCAGGGCTCACAAAAAGAGGCCTGTTGAGAGGCAGCCAGGTTTCCTGGTCACAGTTTCCTGCACCTTTGTTCAAGCTGCCACATATAATAGTTTTATGGTTGCCAATCAAACAGAGTTCTGAAATCACAGAATGGGGTGCCATCTGCCTCCCCACCCCTTTCTGTTTGATTAGCCAGTGTAGCACTCTGGTGCTGTTTAGGATCTGAAATGAAAGCTGAAGTGAATTTTCAAGTAAAAAAATTCATTCCAGCCCTGAAATAGGGGTCCGTGGTAACTACTTCCTGCAGTGAAATCCACATGACCACTTGACACATTGACCCAATCTCAGCTTTTTCTTCTTTGGGAGCACAGAAGAGCTATTGTGGCACCATAGCCTCACCTGATAAGGATGGTGCTGACTGTGGCCAGGCCCCTTTCCTCCCAGAAGTGGACTCCAGGGCCTTCAAATTTTCCTTCCTGCCCCTTGAAGATCTGTGCTGCCCGCTTCCCCACGATGCTTTGCTTCCTTTTATCTTAACACGTACATCTGCTACAGCCTTTTCTCCAGAGTCTTGCTGAGAGAATGCTCGCTGCCCATGCTGGCCCAGTGAGCCAGTCCTCTCTGCTTCGAGTACCACCCAGCTCCCATTTCTCAGCCTGGTCCTCACCCAACTCCGTGCATCTAGGGACCTACTTTCCCAAAGATGACACTGACTCCAACCAGCACAGCCTCTCCCTCCCCGCCTTACCAACTACACAAAACAGTTCACCCTGGCCATGTGGTAGTCAGATCCCCTCAGGGTCTCTGTCTCAGGTGTACAAATGTACCACCTCGCTGCTCTTGGCTCTGGGGAACAGCAGACATGGGTTTAACCTCTTCCTCCTTCCCTCTGAGTTCTCTTGGTCTCTTCCAAGTCAGTGCCACCTCCTGACATCACATGTGACGTTCCAGGAAGAGCCTCTCTTGTCCTGTTTCTATCAGCTCACACTTTTTTCTCCCCATGTCCTTTCTTTTGAAACTGCCCAAACCAACGGCCACAGTTAAGAGCTGAAGAGTATCTCCTTCTTTGGGCTTGAGCTGGTTGTAAGAGTGGGTCAAGACCTGGGCCTGGATACTGAGCTCTGCCTGACTCAACGCTAAGTCTCACTTCCACACCACACTCCCATACACATCTTCCTTTCCCAGGGACATTTTGTCAGCACAGCTCTATTGCTTGTGCCCTGTGCTGGTGCACACAGGGAGAAAGAGGCAAGAGCCAAGAAGCCGGTGTGACTCATCACCCAGCAGTGTCAGCCTGGGAGCTGCTGAGGAATGTCATCAAGCTACCGTTAACTAGTTGGGCAAATGCTTCAACACAGGGGCACCTGAAGCAGCATGGCAGATAGCGCCCTGTCGTTAGTTTGATGTCACAGGCAGGTCCCATTTGTTGAGAAACCAGCACTAACCAAATGGCGGGGCTCTGAGATGTAGAAGAGCTGTTGGGCTGGCACAGGCCCTTTGGTCACCTTCTAAGAAGTAATGATGTAGAGCCCAGTTTTATGTTTTGTTACATAATTAATTAACTGCTTATTTAAGAACATAATGAAAAAATCAATTAGTATTAGAGGTATTATTATATTTTAAATTTGGACAACATAGAAGAATGTATGGTATAAAATTTGTATAATCTCTTCTTGCAAAACATTATTGCTGAGTCTGATGCTCTCCTCCAGATTTATTAAAATGTGCCCTATTTGTACAATTCATAGATTTGAAGCTGGGCTCTTGGTCAATGAGGGAACCAGCTTCCACAGACCTGCGCTATACAGGCTCCCAGGGAACTGCTGGTTTCTCTCCAGTTCTGCCATGATTCTTAATTTCCTTTGATTCAGACAAGGACTGATAATTGCCTAACATAATGAGAGTCACACATTGGGATACTTGTTTCCAAGAACATTTCTAAGGAAAGAGAGTTTTCCCTTCTTTCATTTGGTTATTAAGTTGGAGGAAGTGACTGCTTGAAAACAACATCACAAGCAATAAATGTAAAATCCCTAACACTGGAAGAAGTTCAGGAGAGAGGCTTAGAGTCTCTTAATCCTCCTATTATGCAGACAAGAGGAAGGCCAGACCCCACAAGTGGCTCAGGTTTTGCACAGCACGCTTTCCTCTCCCTAAGAGACAGTCAGCTCTGAGATCTGTTGACAGTGCCAAACAGATTAGCATTCCCCAGAACTCTGTTAGCACACGTATCCTACCTTGTTTCTAGCAGGCAGCTAGTGTTGGGGGTGAGGTCTGCCTCCCATCATGCTGATAGGGATGCCAACAAGCCCTCTTAAAACTACACTGGTGCACACTCTATGGACATGTGTCCTTCTGTCTGTGGGGTCTAGATTTTTAAAAAATTCTGGGTAATAATAATAGCAGGTGTATAACGAGCAGTTACTATGTGCAGGATACCATATTTCTTCTCTGATGTACATTATTTCAGTCAATCACTGTAACAAGGCAAAGCTTTTAGTTATTTCCATTTTACAGTTGAGGCAATTGAGGGTCCTAAACATTAACCCCACCCCCCAGGTAAGTGGAAGATCCAGAGGTGAGTGGTCTGAGTTGGAGTCTGAACCTGGGTTTTAATAAACAAAGCTGTCTCATTGTGTGCATATTTCTAGGCACTCTGAGTTTTTTTAAAGGTATTTATCTGAGGGATGGTCTTTAGGGTAAGTTTACCCACAGGTTTTCTTTCCCAGAGTCACATGGTTATAGCATCTCCACGGAATGTTTATATTATTTAGTAAAATTGGGAGAAACACACACACATACACACATACACACACAATTTTATGCTTATTACTATCTTAAATCAGCCCTGAAAAATGTATCCAAGTTCTTGTCAGTAGCCTTAAAAATGCAAAACAATTTGGCCAGGTTCATAAAGTGCCACTCCCAAGCTCACAGTTCCCTGACACGTCTGCACATGCATCTTCATGGCTCCTTAGGCAGCCTGGCCTTTCTCAGGAAGGCTGGCCCAGCCTGGAGGCACCTGCCGCTGGCGCATGTGCCGCATGGCCTTGTTAGTGACTAATAGTCTGGCGGTCACAGGTACTCACGTGGGTTTGCCGCAGATTTTCCTCTGGTACCACTGCTTGCAGTTGGTGAAGTACTTCTTGTTGGTGCCAATGACCTTCTGCACAGCACACACATTGGGGCTGGAAACAAAGCAACGGTGTCAGTGAGGTGGTCGGCATAAGCAGCCACCTTGATGTGCTTCGTATCATGTTGGCCTTCCTGGGTCACCAGAACTATCAAAAACTGAAGGAGAGCTAGCCATTCAGTCTTGGTACCAGCGGTAGTTTTAGGATAGGCTTTGATCCCATGTACCTAGATTCCCATCAGCGCCCATGAAAGCTTCTCCTCAAAACACGGGTGAAGTCTGTCTTATACATCAATATAATTTCATGCATGTATCCTACTTTGATGTGGGCAATTGGTAAGTGAAAATAAAAGCATGTAAAAACTTCTAGATTACACATTATACACCAAGAAAGCTACCAAAGTCAAAGTGGTGTGCTTGCTAAGCAGGGACACTCTAAGAGACACCCGCCTTTCTCTGTACCCACACCCCACACCAAGAATACACTTTATATGCCAGGGTGTGCTGCAGGCCTTGGTCTTATGTGGGAAGCCCCAGCACCTCCCTGACAGCTCCATATATAGACATACTCCCAGAAACAATCCACCAAGAGTGTCCACTCTGTAAAGCAGGGCATATGGCCAGCTGCTGTCAGGACAGCTGTCATCAGGGGTGCTCTCCGGATTAACTGTCAGTTGTTCATGACTTAGACCCCAGCTGGAGTCCCATTCATCTCAGGCAGCCTTCCTCCACTGCTTCAGGTGACACCCTTCTTCCCATAATCGGACCTGGATGCAGCCCTTGCATGATGCTACTAACAGATCCTGTCACTGATGTGGTACAAACAAAAAATGTAAAACACTCACTGGTGTACAGAACAGACCCTGTCCCTGAGGTGTTCTGAGTGTTCTCCTGTGAGGGTTAGAGGAGTCAAGGCTGGACAAGAAACCACAGGCACAGGCTGCCTTAGTCCCAGCTGGGTCTCACCAAGAGCCTGTAGCTTCCAGCAGATTTCTAAAAACTCGGCTTCTCTGTTCGCTGCCTGGGGTTCACAGGTTAGACAGTCCCTACTAACTCCTGAGAAGTCCCTGCCAATCACAATTCAGCCCTAAGTCCTACTCATCTTCGTGCAGTCCCAGAAGTTCTTCCATCTGACCAACAGGAAATTACTACTGTCGATGAAATCCCTGCAACTTTCCGTAGGCGTCTGGCTGGTCTTCAGTGAGTCTCTGTGGATGTGGCTCCAACATTCCTCCACGGGGTGAGTTTCCACTGCTGCTGCCCTTCGTGACAGGAGAGGAGGCTGGGGCAGCCCTGCCCCTCCTCCTCTCACACTAGGAGTATGGGTGAGCTGTACACAGAGGAAAGTCATACTAAAGTGTAATAGAATCGAGCAAGCCATTTCTGGGCCTTTTGCCTCCAGCATAACAGCACTGCTTTGCAACTTGGATTTGAAAACCAAGTGTTTCAGGAAGTTCGGCTCAGCTTTTGGTTGTTGATATTCAGAGGTGTGGTTGCATTTTTACTTCTCTTTTAGTGTTACTTTTTTTTTCCCTCTCTATGGCAACATAGATATGGCTGGGAGCCAAGAGACCTTGTCACAGTTACTACCCTCCCAACAGTTTTCTGTGTTTGGACAAAGTCACTCTGTCTCACTAAGCTGCAGTTTCACCACTGTAAAATGGGAACAACTGCAATAGACCTCATTGTGCTATGTGGAAGATGAACGCCAGAGTGCTGGTGGGTGGTAGAGGTGCACCTGAGCAAGGTCTAGTGATCATTTCTTCCCTCACAATGTGGCGCACACTGCATGCCCTTCAACTAAAAAAGTTTTCCTTTCCTTTCCTTTCCAGCGGTCCCACTTTGAATAAGGAATTGGAGCTTGAACAGGGTCATTTGTATAAGGTACCCCACCCACGAGCACAAGACCGGGCAGCCCTATGGTACTGTCAGGGACACTTAGATCAGAGTAAGTGCAGCCATATCTGCAACTATTTGCTTCAGCTTATGTGCCTGTATATCCAGATCTCACTGGGGGAGGAGGTGCCCGGTGACTTCTTGATCATTTTGCCCCTCCCAGGTTACTGTGGGTCTTTCCAACTGCACTGCAAGAAGCTAACCAAGATTAGGCTGCAGGGGTACAACTGGGAAATTAATACAACATCTGAAATTTATAATAAAAGAGCATCTGTGTTTTTTTAAAAAGCCTTATTTTCAGCCTGGTCAGTATCTCTTCTGGGCTCTGAAGGGAAGGAGGTTTGCTAGGGATGGTTCCTGATGCAAATCCCTGAATACCTTTGGGAACACTCTGCTATGGCCCTGGACAGAGGCACCATTCTGGGTGCCTGCTGTGGGGCATGCCATAGTGATCTTCTCCTAGCTTAGTGGTTAAGAGGCCACATTCAGGAACAGACCTCCCAGGTGGTCTGCGGTCCTCAAACATAACATGCTTCATTGATAAAAAAGCCACAGGGACCAAAAGTGAGAAGGGCTGAAGTAATAAAAATGTCAGCTGTCACATTTTGACTTTGATGCCTCCTTGAATGCCCTTTGCCTTTCTGACCTGCCCCCTCACCTTCTTATGCATATGGTCTCAGTCAAAGGTGACTGTTTCACTTCTACAAAGACCCTGGGGCGTCCTCAGTGCATTGCTCCTTCCAGGAGGGTTTGGGCTGGCTTGATCTCCTTTTGCGTGGTGGCCACATTTGCTCGCAGCATCTCTCCCAGACAGCCCCCATAGCCACAGGCAGAGGAAATAAAGGGGCAGCCTATACCCACACCCAGATGTGGGAAGCCAAGGCTTTTTGGGGGACCTAAAGCCAACTCTATTACCCTCCACCCCAACTGTGAGTATTGATCTGAAAACCCATCTATCCCATCTCTTGGAGGGTTAGGCACTGCCTGGGGCAGGACTGCCAGGACTCAACAGTATCGGGGCCAACGCTGCGGAGTCACCACTGGTTTCTATCTACACACAGTTTTACCTAGGAGTAAAAAAGAAGTTGGTGCAACCAAGCAGACTGGAAGCTCCAGCAAAGCCCAGCTGTGTGAAGCAGGTGTGGCCCGGTCTAGGACGCAGAAGCACTCCACCTCTGGCTGGGTCTATGCTGCGTCTTCACTAGGTCAGACCTTCTGCATGGGTTTGCCCTCATGTTTAGTGTCTCAAAGTACTACCTGCAGTGATTGTGCCCACACTTACAAACCCCTTCTGCTTTAAGACAAACTCCAATCCTGGTTTTTGCGCATACTGCGGGCCTGGCAAGATCCCACGGCCTCCCAGGACTCAGTTTCCCCATCCCCACAGCATACTGTGTGAGGGTCCAGGGAAGTAAGCTTTCCCTTCACAGGGCCTCAGGTGCTACACTACCCTTGCTGCGCCCACAGAGCACTGCCTTGGTGCCCTGGGGCAGGTGTCGGCCAGGTGCACAGAAGCCTGTGTGATGCTGCCACCCATGCGGCCAAAGTCTCCTCTGGAGTCACTGGACAAGGACCTGGCGGGCAGCACTGCTGGGTGGGCTTCCTCTCTGCCTCAGGCGCCTTCCCACCATGCTTCCGGTGACTGGGGCAGAGAGCTGCTTGGCCCCTTCCAGCCATGGCTGCACGAAGAGGCTGAAAGTGGGGTCTCTCAAGCCCTGGGTCTGTTCTTCCAAGCCTTTCCTCTTCCCCTCAGGGTCCCGCAGCCCTCTCCCTTCCCCGGGTAGAGGGCTGGTCCCCTCTGAGTACCGCTCGTTGTCTGCTTTTGTGTGTATGTGTTGTGGGGGACGGGTATCTCTTCCGCCCCCAGCTGCAAGCCGCGCGACCCGTCCCATCCCTTTGCTCCGCTTACCCGTGCTGGCGCCCCCGGAGCCGGCTGTGCTGCAGCACCAGCTGGTAGGGTGACTTGGCTGGGCCCGCTAGGGTCCCCGCAGGGCCCAGGGCCAGCGCCAGGGCGAGGGCCAGCAGCCGCACGAGGAGCGCCATGGAGTGAGAAGACGCGCAGAGTCCCGGCGGGGCAGGCGCAGCTGGAGTTGGCTCGGGGAAGTGAGCGCCCCGCCGCCCGCGCCAGGTTAAGTAAGCGGCGAGCGGGAGGGAGCGGCCGAGGGGCGGGAGGCCGGCCGCGCTGGCGCCTCCCAACCCGCGCCTGCAGGGCTGCGCTCCGCGCCCCTCGCCCCCTCCGCGTCCGCAGGCGCTTTCTTCTCCTGCGCTGTCCTGCACCCAGAGCCCCGCGCTCACGTCCTCTCTCCTTCCCTTCTTCTCTTGCCACTGGCCCCTGGGCACAAAGGGTGCAGGTCCTGAAGAAGGGCCTCAGCTTCTTCCCCGTGGGACACTGGGAGTGAGGGTCCCGACTGAAAGCCCGGAGCCCAGAGAAGCCTCGCTGATCTGGCTGCAAACACTGCAAGAAGCTAGAGCGAGCGGGCTGCGGCCGGTCAGACTGGACCCTGCGTCTGACACCACCAGGCAGGCTGATAGAAACACAAATGGGGAGTAAATCTTATGACTGACCGCAGCTCAACACTGCAGGGCAGGTTTTGTGAGGCTGTAAGCTGCACCTGAAAACCTGGAGAAGGGTGGGGTCCTCACCTTGGTAGTGCCGCGCCCCGCTAACCTTGGCAGCATCGGGTGCCGGATACTTGTAGCACTGAGGTGGAAACGGCAAGACTCCTGCCCTGGAGGAGCTCTGAGCACCAAAGCAAGCGGTCTGCGGCAGGGAGGGAAGTACAGTACTAATCCCAGCGCCTGTGAATCACCACCAGCCAGTTTACCTGGCACTGTTAGAGCTGGGGAGACAGAGGGATAAGTGGATGAGACCCAGGCCCTCTGAAGAAGTTCACAGCCAACCAGCCATGAGCCAAGCCAAGATGTGCCCTAGAGAGAGGTGGCTGGGGCCTGGGGAGTCCAGAGGAGGCCTGTGGCCCAGTCTGATGGGTCCGCTTTTAGATCTGACAGGTGAAAAGGAGTTAGTCAGGCAAAAGGAGGCAGCCAGGCAAAAGGAGGCATGCACTCAGGAAATTCAAGTTATTCTGCTGGCTGAGGCATGAAGGGTGGAGGTGAGGGTAGGGGATGAAGGCAGCAGTTAGCAGGGCCCAGGCCCAACCTAAAACCTGCAAGTGACAGGGAAGCAAGCAAGTGACATGGTCAGTGTTGTGAGCAGGCTTTAAGAAGACCAGGGGGAAATGGGTGATCAGTTGGGGACCATGTGGGAGCGTGAACTATGGTAGTAGAGATGTCGATGGAAGGGTGTTGTGGTGGATTAACTAATGGTCAACTTGTAACACCCAGCTGAGTTGAGTCAGCCTGGTGCTGGGTGTGAAAGGCCCACCTCAGGATTGTTGCCAACAGCGTAAAAGGAGAACTGGAGGGGAAGATGGTGCTGTTGATTCCCCTGGAGAAACTGGTTGAGCTGGCTTTCCTGATATGAACTCAGCTGTTCTCACTGTTGAAGCAGCTCTGGTCCTTACCTTGAGCATCACCACACGGCTCCTGTGCAGATCTTTTAGTCTGATGGCACAGATCTTTCGTCCCGCTGGTGCAGACTTTCTAGCTTCCATCGCTAACCTTTGGGCCTTCCCAGTGCAGATCCCTGATACAGACTTGTATGAGACATTGCCATAGGCTCTAGGCCTCCAGCTGGACTTGTGGAGGACATTGCCATGGGCTCTAGGTCTTCAGCTGGACTCGTGCAAGACATTGCTGTGGGATCCAGGCCCTCAGCTGTGTTCTTTGAGTCTCTAGTGCATTGGATCTTTTGGATTCTTCTACATTTCACTTTTTAGGTGAATATTATAAAATAATCCTATAACTTGTGTCCTGTATTAAATCTACTCTTTTGCAAACCCGGACTGATCACCAACGGATCATTTTTATAAAAATGCAGAGTCAAATACAGTAGATTTCAAGGAGAATTACAGTTACTAATTTTTAACAAGTTCTGGGATGGTTTTGATGATTCTGTTTGCAGACCATATTTTCAGAGGCAAGGTTGTAGAAGATCACTGAAATATCAAAGTCTAAATCCCCTAAATAGTGCTGGAACTGTCCTCTTAATTTTAGTAACCTGGGGTGTATCTTGCCTGTGTTAGTTATGTGGATAGAATAATTGTATGTGAAGTACTGTTCTAAGTGCTTCACCCTAAATTTTATACAAGGAATAGAACTTTCCTGACCAATTTGTGTAGTGTGTGTGTGTATGTGTGTGTGTTTCTAGGGCTTGAACCTAGGGTCTCATTTGTGCTAGGTGAACACTCTACCACTGAGCTATATCCCTACCCCTTTTTATTTTAGTTTGAGATAGAGTCTTGTTAAATTGCTCAGATTGGCCTCAAACTTGCAATCTTCCTGCCTCAGTCTCCCCAAGTAGCTGGGATTGCAGTATTGTGCCACCATGCCTGGCTCAGGCACTCTTAATTCAGAGATCTTATGGCCCAACTCACCCTTCTTCTTCCCCATGAAGTCCTGAGTTCTAAATCTCCCTAAGTAGCTGTATGGTGGTAAGTTAGAAAGGCCAGGTACCCTCTGGAGATGATTGACTGTCATCTATCTCCACTGATGCACAAAGATCACCAGGAGCTTTGGGAAGAATGACAAGGCGTGAACAGAGGCTGATGGGTCATGCCCCAAATGCCAGCTGTCCACAACAGCCCCAGGGCCAGTTTCTTTCTTAGGTTCTTTGTGGGGAACTTGTCAGAACTACTAATTCACTATGATGTTTAAGGCCTGTTGTCATGTGCTACAGGGTTATTTCAAAATTAAGCCGGGGGGGGGGCGTTGTATGTACCACAGAATGTGAAAGTAGTCATTTCTTTAAACTACCTGAAAAAGTCTTGTAATTATTGTTCCAAACAAGCTTCATTTACTCTTGTTAGGTTTCTCTAACTTGGAAAGAAAAAGTCCTCCCCAAATGAAAAGTCTTCAGTGTGGTGTGTGTGCCCTAGGTTGCTCTGGGTCATCTGGGGATGGAGGACCCTACTTCTCCTCCAGAAGTGTCACCCCATCTGCAGAGAAGCAGCAGTCCCTGGTGGGAGAATATGTTTACATTCATGGGCTTCTGCTTTTTATGGTTTTGGATAGGCAGTGGATGGTGGAACATGGCTGGGAATTTTTTTTTTAATATCAAAACAGTAACTGACGTATTACTATGATCTCTTTTCTGAGCTCATGGAAAAACTCAAGCCATCAAATGTTAGTTTTACAGATGAGAGAAGAGAGGCCTGGTGAGATTATTGAACTTGCCCAGAGCTCCTGCCTCCTGCTAGGTGGGAGCTGGCCTTGGAGCGCACACGTCCCTGCAGCTGACCTGTAAGAGGCATCTCCCTAGAAGTTGTGCTCAGTCACTTCCCCTGGATCCAGGAGAAACTTCTGCAATCAAGCCTGCACCTGCATCCTCCAGGGTGCTTTCCAACACTGTAGGCCAGACAGACAGTCAGGATCAGAGAAATGTTTTGCTTTAAATTAAGTTAGCATTTTTGGATCATTGCTTTTATAATTGCTAAACTCTATGTATTATGTTTTCACTGATCTCTACTATACAGAACAATTATTGAGGAAAGGTGATCCATACTAGTAACTCATAGTGACTGACCATTTTACTAGAAATACATTGTGTAACCTACCCTGGGGTCCTGTGAGGTGGTTTTGTCATGATCTCTATGACCTATATTATTTATATATAACTAGAAAATAGCAGGGTTGGTGTTGAAACACAGATTCTCCTGCCTCTGGTGTCAGAACTCAACAACTTTGCTTGACAGTGTCACTGTTCATCCGGAGGTCCTGCCTTGGGGATCCAGGTGTCATTCTCAACCTCTGAGCAAGGCTACAAGGGCTGCCTCCCTTGCTCTGAGTGTACACCCTTCCCAGAAGCATCCCTGCACTTCTTGCCTTAACCTCCCGGTAACTGCATCCCACAGCTCGTACTGTGATGCCAACTCATAGAGGCCGCTGTGCTCTGGACCTTTACACTGGGTGCACTTGCCTTCTTAACATGGGGTCGTAGCTGCCATGCATCGTGATGCAGCAAATGCTACCACTGCCGATGACATTCCCTTTTTTCAACCCCCTGGCTGAGCAGAAAGTCAGGATTTTCTGATATAGAAATCACCTGTGTTCTTTCTACTATGTTTCCTGGATTTTCTCCATGAGGGTTCAGGAAAACAAAGAAAATGATAGTAAATACCAAGATAAGGAAAATGATTCATGGAACTAACTCTCAGGGGCCCAAAGCCAGAACCAGTCTAGCATGAGTATCAATCTCTCCTCTCAAAAAGCTGTTTTGGGGAAAATCTGCTTATTCCAGACTGAAGCTTATTCTTGTCCATCCTCCCCAGCAGGTAGTGTAAGCTCATGTGGCAGAGGACCCTGGGGCCAGCACCCATGTGCAGTTTGGACAGTAAATGTCCCACCTCTCCCTCCTGGAGAGATGGGATGAGATTCCATCTCAGAGAAGGGAAGATCCTGGCTTTTCCCAAGGTCAGAGCCACCTCAGAACAACCTCTAATCTTCAGTGCAAAAGATAGCTCGGGTTAAAATGTTCCAGGACACTTTCTGTAGCCTTAAAGTTTTGTTCCCTGAGTGCCAAGCATGTGCTAAGAACTACTCGTTATCACGATCTCTGTGAGACTGAATAACCTAGATTATTCACAAGCAACGCACATGGCAACAATGGTAGATTTTGAAACTCTCTGCTCCTGTGGTCTTTCTGGATCTTCCTGAGCTTCTCTGTCCCTTTGGAATTCCTGTTCTGCCTCTCCCTCCATCTCCTCAACCTCTCCATTGCCCCCCAGGCTTCTGGCCCACCTTTTCTCCTCTTCTTCCTTCTTTTCCTCCTCCTCCCTTCCATGTTCCCAAGGAGCTCATGTAGTCCATGGCTTTAGCCTCCACCTCTAGTGGTTGTGACCTCAGAGCTGCACCTCCAGTCCTCACAACCCTCCTGCATACCTGTGAGGCAGCTCCCCCGTCCATTTCATCCACCTGGTAATGGAGGTGGCTTGCTGTCACCATGCGACGCAGCCAGTGTCACAGCTCCTCCCCTCATGCGCAGAAATGTGCACTCTAACGGAGGGCCCCGTTCATGTATGTGCTTCTCCCAGCTCTGAGCCTCCCAATTATTGGACTTCCTCTCTCCCTCTCTCTCCATGCCCAATGATTTCCAGTTCTCCTCGGTGCTACCAGTAAAATCGTCCTTAAATCTGCCTACTTCTTTCCACTCCTTCTACCGTTCCTAGTCAGACCTTCAATGGCTCTCTGCCCTCAGGATCCTCCCCCTTGTACAGCACCTAAACCACACTGCTTCAGCCTCTTCTTGTCCCTGGCCCCCTCTCCCACTGTCCCTCTCCCTGCTGTGGCTTTGACCTCCTTCCTCCCTTCTCTCTGTGAAAGTTCTAACTCTCCAAGTCTCTCCTGATTTACTTTCGCTGACTTCTAGCCTAACTCTCTCTTCCTTTTCTACACTGTATGTCAAGGTCTCCACAGCTTTATCTTCTGGTCCAACCACCATACCCGGCCTCGGCCAAACTGCTGTCCACACCAAGTCCTCAGTGACCTGTTTGTCACTGAGGATGTCACAGTGGATGCGCTGGGATCTGTCTTCTGTGCAGCATCTGTCTCTGTAAACAGCTTCCTCCTCCTTGTCCCCCCTCCTCCTCCCACAGCAGCTCCACACTCTCCATTTCTGCTCCTCTCTTGTCAGCTGCCGGCTGTTCCCCGCCCGTGTCTCCTCTCCCCCATCTGTCCTCACGCACCTCTTGCTCCACAAGAATGACGCCCAGGCAGGAGTCTCCATCCTATAAATCCTGCTTTAGTCCGCAATGCACACATCCTACTGCCCATGGGACTCTCCACCTGGAGAATCACAAGCACTTCAATGCCGTATGTCCCAAGCCACTCATCCTCTCCTGGAAAACCTGCACCCCATTCCACATGCCCCTCATACTAAATATGTACAGCACCACCGCACACCATGACACCCAGACCAGAACCACTCATCCTGGACTCTTCTTCCTCCCCCAGCCCTATATACAGCCCCCCAGCTCCCCTGTGTTCCATGTATTTCTTCCTGGACACCTGTTTGAGAAGCACAGGTCTTAAAGGTCATATTAGATATTGAAGAGTTCAGATGAAACTAAAGTAAGATTCAACTCACATAACCACTGACAAAACAAGAAATACACCCGAATATATGCAGCAATGAAATGACCATAGAGAAAATCTAAGCTTGTGCTTAGGCTCAGCACTGCTGGTGGATGACTGTCAAGTAGCCTTTTCTGTAGGTTTACTTGTTGATATTTGTGTCTTCCATGCACTGAACAGGGGCAGGAAATGTGCGATCTATTTGAAGAATCTTCCATTTTTTCCCCTTTTAAAGACTGTAGAGGGGGCTGGGAGCACAGGTTTGTAACAAGATGAGCTTAAAACAAACTTGCTGTTTAGGCTCCCCTGGAAAGTTGGTGGAAACAGAGCAGCTGTCACAGCCCTGAGATGGCATTAAGTCCCTTGTGTTTACTCTGTTAAATGACTTGCTGTTTTCTCAACTTCTCCAAACACTGCCTTTCTTAATGAGCGCTTGCCAAATGCTATTTGCTGGTTAGAACCCAAATTTGTTTTTCGGGGAAATTGATTTTTCAAAAGAGAGTTTCATTGAGTTGGCTCAGCTAAAATATCTTTTTTTTTTTTTAAAGAAAACTCCAGAGATGCTGCGAGTGTTGTTCTAGTTGCCTGACCTCAAATATTTTTCTGCAGCCTACAGATGATTGTTGGGTTTCCTCTGCTTTCCAGAGCTTTTCTTCAAGGTAGGCAAAGGCCTTGGAGCACAGATACTGCCCTGCAGCAATGCATCCCAGAATACAGAAATCCCAAGGCTGCTTGGTCCACCCTCCCTGCTTTGTTCGGCATTCACCACTCCAGATTGGATGGCTTGCCTTCAGCTGTGCGGTGTTCCCTGTGTGACCCGACGCGTGGTCAGTCTCCAAGATTCTACAAGGGCTCTCTCCACACATCTCCTAGAGGTCACCGCTGGACTGCCCAGATCCCCACCCTGCCTCTTGTCACCCAGGGCTGCCCAGTCAGTCTGCTCGACATGGGCTGCCACTCGACCTTTACCCCAGGCATCCGTCTTTCTCAACGCTGCCTGTCTCATCTTCCCAAAACGCTTCTACCGAAACTCTGCTCTCCTAGGACACTCCTGATGGTTTTCAGTGTTTATGAGAGAAAATTCAGATATTTCTTAAAAAATTAACTTCATGTCTCCCCAACTTTGTTTAAAAACAAAAAACAAAAAACACTACAGATATATTACAAAAAGCTGGGAAAATACTGACAAGTCTAGCTAAGAAGAAAGCATTCCTCATCCTTAATTTCCTATACCAATAGAACTTTTGATTGTTTTTGCCTCATTTTACTTGTCTGACTTCTAAGTTTTCACCAGAATTTCTCCTTTTTTTTTTTTTTTTTTTTTTTTGGAAGTACTGATTAAACCCAGAGTGCTGAGCTACATCCCTACCTTTTTTATTTTTTTTAAATTTTGAGACAGAGTCTTACTAAGTTTCCCAGGCTGGGCTCAAGCTTGTGATCCTTCTGTCTTAGCCTCAATAGTTGGAACTGCAGCTGTGTGCCACCACCCTGGGCCGAATTCCTCCTTCCGATCCATCTTACCTGTTTGCCCAGGTGCGCCTGTGTCAGCCTGGCTCCTGTAGCACATGTGCTTCCTCCACCCCTCCCTACACACAGCCCACTTCTGCCCCCTTGTGCAGACAGAGCTCTGGGCTCCTCCTTGCCCCCACATGTTTATAGAATTCTCCCTCTCCAAGGCTTTCCCTGCTATTAAGAACTTGCAGAACACTTACCCTAACCTAACCGGACTGCTGTTTTCTCAGGTGGCCCCCTCTCTGTGGCTTTCCCATGTGATGAACCTCTCTTTCTGAAGCCAATGGCTGTTCTCACAGTCAGCCCATGTGTTTGCTTCTGTGATTCATTTAGAGCCTCATAATGAGTCAGCATGGAGCCCATTTAACCTTTACAGACCCACTAATGGACTGGATGTGCATGTTTTGACAGGTATAGCCTAAATCCTCTCTGGTATGATGTTTGTGTTTTCCAAAATAGAGGTCCAAATTAGACACAGACCTTATTGGGCATTGCTTTAGGCTGCTCCACCATACCATCAAACTAGACTGGATCAGGTAGAAACTCTGAGGGACGTAAAGAACGTTGGCCTGGCTTCTTGCCTAGGCTTCCTAGTGTGGGACATCCATTCCCAGCATGAAGGAGTGAGATTCTCCAGGCTGGTGCTTCTGACATCATATTCTGGTTCTGTGGATGTTCCTCTAAGCCAGGGGAAAGAAAGTCTCAACTTCCACAGGTGCAGTATTGTGCCAAAATCAGGGAGAAGAAAGGGGAAGGCAGACTGAAGCAGCTATGACTGCTGGCTTTACAGAAGCTATTCTGATAGCAGAGTTCAAAAATACCTAAGAACTTACTCCTATCCCAGCACCCCTGCAGGCTACCTCAAACACCCTGGATATTTGGATCTAGCTTATATGTAGAGGACAATTTATGCAGGCTGGAGAGCTTGTGAGAGGAGGGCCATAACCTCTTGCCTGCATGTTTTAACACCTTGGAACATGTTCATTGTCCAGGTCAGCACTTTTGCCCTGACATGAAAGGAAAAAAATTAAACTTCATACAGAGCGCCCCATGACACCCACCCACCTTGGTCCTCTACTCCACCTCAAGCAACACTGTGCCCAGCCAGGAAGACAGTATCTGACAGGGCAGGTCTGTGGACCCCAGTCTGCCCCAGCATCTTTTTCAGCAATCTCTCATTCATGGGGCCCCTGTTATTTCACTGGGATATGAATGGAGTAAGTGTTGCATTTAACACAAGGCACACAGTGCCCAGTAATGCAGAACAATAATATTTAATATGATAAGTGGCATTAGTAAAAGGAATTTACTTGGATCACTGCTTCTAAAGCAAGGATTAACCTCCCAGGTTCCTATGGACCGGGCTGTGTTTGGGAAGGAATGCGAATTTCAGAATGACGCAGGACAGCAGTCAGAAGAGGGAAAGCAGATGTGTGCATGCATATGTGCACACAAAATCCTAGCTGACTAGTGAATAATTACAGCTTACCAACATCAGGGGCGAGTGTGAATACTTTCATGTATTAAGTCATTCGATCCTTGAAACAACCCTATGCGTTGGATAGTGTTAATCTTTTCTCACAGATGATAAAGACAAGGCTGGGAGAGGTGAAGGAACTTGCCTCGCTCGCTGGGAGGCCATAGCAAGTAGTGACAATGCTGGTAAACAGAAGAGTCAGCATTTGAAGGGAGACAGCCCAGGCCAAGTGCCCGGTCTGCCTAGGCCGCTGTGCATGCTGTACCCTTCATTACATAACGCAGCTGCATAATTTTTGAAAACCCCCCTACCTTTTCTCTTGCAAAGATGTTTATTGAGCCAACTCTCACACACATTTCCCAGAGGGGCTACTCTACCCCGAGTAGCCCCTCTGGGAAATGGGGAATGGGGCAGCCATGGTGAGGAAAGCAATAACTGCTTGCTCCTTTTTCCACACAGGTAGGGAATTGAGCTGCTGGAGCCACTGTTTAGATTTACCATGAAATCAGTTTTCCTTAGACTGGATCAACTAGCATTGTTTAGCAATCCTCAACAATCTTGTTGTCACCAATGCCAACCATCAAGAAGAACATCCTGTATGTACAGCTTGGTGAATCTCAGGAAGCCAGTGCTTCCCAGGGTTGGGAGAGGGGGTTATACATCAACCAGACGCTACTGCTGCTCTTGCAGAGGTGACTTTCTGCTCTCTCACAGTCATCCTGTTGAGTCTCTCTCTGATGAAGTAGCTAGAATTTGAACTAAAAATAAAAATGTTATTTACTTAGCATGTGCAGAAGGGGAATTTCTTCCATGACTTTGTGGCAAGTACTTCTCTGTCTTTCCTCCAAGGTCTGGGTAGTTCATTGGTTGAAAGGCTCCAAAGCCTGAGGAAGTTTAAAGCGCTATCATCTGGCCTTCAGTGACCTGAGACCTCCTAGACGAGACATAGTCTAGCCCCTTCCCTTTTAGAAGCAGGTAGCCTCCAGGCCTCTGGTGTTGATTTACGACCTTACTTCCCTGGGATTCTGAAGCATTCTGAGGCAGGAGCCAGCAACCTTTCACCATTCAGCTTGGATCGTCTGGACCCCTCTATAGACTTGCGCACTTCAAGTAATGACCTCTGTCTGACTCTAGTTGGCAAGACGGATCACTTTCTTCCCTAATGTATTTTACCTTGGGGAGAGACTCTCATATACTAAGCAGTCACTGTTTCTCTTAAAGCACCATAAAATATGTAAAATAAGAAGTGAAAGAAATGGGGCCTGGTGCTTGGCACATCCCCACATGTGATAATACTTTGGCAAGGTGCACTGAAAGAAAAAAATCTTTCCTTAATATATCACTTAATTACTGGTCGAATATCAATACTCTACCCAAGACATAGTCAAACTAACAGCACGGCCATTTCAATTATAATAAAATACACCAAAATTCTGGAACAACAAAGAATTAAAATAATCGTCAGAGTCTGTAGAAAAGAATTACCCATATCTGTTGGCACATGCTCGAAGTAACAGTCAAAGTAGAGCCTGAGTTAGTCCTATTATTCCATCATGAAAAAAAGTACAACTGACTGTGTTCAGAAAGTGGGTCTTGACCGGTTCTAGCGACACTGACACTCTCCTGAGCTCACACTACCAGCCAGCAATGCGCCGCACATTGCACTTCCAGACAGGAATGAGTCATGCTCTGGCCAGGAGGCTCTCGAAGGCGAAGGCGCATGTACAGTGAAATAAATGCCTCGTGCATGGCCGTATGCAAGAGGAACTCTAAAGGGAAGTACCAACCGCACAGCACAGAGCGGGGGGTCAGCGGGGACCAGCGGCTGTGGGGGAAGTGAAGGGAGCCAGCAGGGACTGAGATTCTTCCCAGAAGAGGTGATTCATCATCTGGTTGAGAGTGACGCCACGTCAGCAAGGTAGACTGCAACTCATCAAGTCAGAAACCGGAGACAGGGTTAGTAGTAGAGACAGGATTGCTTGTCTGGATTTCTGGTTCACGTTAGCACTTTATAATCCTGAGACATACAGGAGTCTGGAAGAGTTGCTTTTGTGCATTCACTCTGATTAATTAAGCAAAACGCCACCCTGATCTTTCTATTTAAAAATCATTCCTTTACCCTTTCTCTGTTGTACAGAACTCCAAGTATCCTGAGACTTCATTTGGTCTTTCTCAAAATAGATTCAAGTCTTCTTTGTGGCAACTTCACACTCGAAAACTGACAGGCCCTAAAGCAGTTCCCCGGCACCTATGGATCTCGTGTAAATATTCAGGACACCACCGACCAATGGAACATTGTGCTGGGGCAACCCAAAACACAGCTCAGACTCCCTCTGAGTGCTCTAGCTGCTTACATGTTGAAGGAGGCAAGGCTGGGCAACAAGTGTGTGTCTATGCGCGTCTGCCTGTGTGATGTGCAAATAGAAGACTCGATCTGTGTGATCAAATCAAATAAGTACAAATTTTGTCAGGCCCTTGAGACGGACGTGGCAGAGGCTGCCAAACCGGGGCGGGGCCCAAAGCTTAAGGCAGGGCTTACAAACGCTTGGCTTGGTGATTAAAGCACAACACGATCCGCAACTTCAAAAATGTGTTTATTTACATACAAAGTCCACCCAAGACCCCCACAATAAGACCTTGGCCTGTTTTTATGATCTTGTGACAGGAGTGGCCTACTTTTTACTTCAGTTCTTATGCTTACTCTGGGGACCCAACTTGATCGCTCCAAACCAGCAAATTAATAAATAGAGCAGCAAAAGGGAAGACTGCAGGTCATGAGACCCAGGCTTTTATGCCTCTTCTTTCTTCATAACTCTTTCCAGATGTGGAGTCTGGCATAGTATCAGCTCTGGGACGATAACTAATGAAAGTCCTCTTCCCCTAGCTAACAGCAGGTGGCTACTGGTTGCAACAGAATGGCCTGATTGTGTTAGCCTTTGAGAGAACTCAGTTGGCCAGAAGCATTTGCCCTTGTTTAGTGTTTACTTGGCATAGGTCACAGAATGGATGACAGCAAGAGACAAGAATCCAGCACAAGATGTCACCGAAAGAAGAAGGTTATGGGAAATGGCATACTTTTAATAGTAGTCCTAAACAATGTGGAAAGATGGGCTAGATTTTGGATTAAAACACCCCACCACTGAAGAAATCACATACAAAAAAAGTGATTAGCTCAAGGCCCTGTCCTTACCATTGATGAAATGCTTGTTTCCTCGACAGTTCTAGGGCAGAGAGGTAAGAGACAGTTGCTTCTGATTTTAGGGTGCTTACAAACCAAGAGGGATCACATGCCATGAAAAAACATCAGAGGAGAGACTGGGACCAGACAGAATTCAGTAGAGGAAAAAGGTGAAAGTTGAAAGTTGAACGTACCAGGTTCTTTTTTTTTTTTTTAGATAAGGTCTTGCTATGTAGTTCAGGCTGGCCTTGAACTCACCATTTAGCCTGGGCTGGCCTGGAACTTGCAGCAATCCTCCTGCCTCGGCCTCCTGAGTGCTGGGATTACAGGTGTGTGCCACCACACCCAGCAAATACCAGGTTCTAACAGGGTTTAGGGCTCAGGATACACCATTCTCCATGTGTGGGGAACTTCACCCTGACCTCAGACATTGGTCCATGTACCAGCCAAACTGCACATTGCTCAAGCCCTTGAGGCCGGGCCAGCTGAGCCCAGACTCCCACATTCTGCTTTGGTCCCCTCCAGCTTTGGGAAAGTCTCCTTCCTCCAGTGACTTTCATTTGCTGACTAACTTGCTTGCCACAACCACA